GCTTCCTCCAAGACCCAGCTCAAATGGCACTTCCTCTTTGAAGACCCCTGGGCACGTCCCTCCTCTGTGTTCCATTCATTTCTCAGCTGAAGTACGTCTACAACCATCTCTTCCTTTCAACTGTGAACCCCTTGAGGGCAGGGTCTGTGGTTGGTTTTTCTCTGGATCTCCAGTGCCCAGTCCAGGGCCTGGCACACAGCAGGTACTCAGTGAATGGTGTATAAATAAGCAGATGGCTGAGTGAGTGAGTGAGTGAGTGACTGGTTGTTGTTGTTGTTGTTGTCGTTAGGTGCCATCAAGTCGGCTCCGACTCATAGCAACCTTATGTACAACAGAACAAAACTGCCCAGGCCTGTGCCAGCCTCACAATCCTTGCTATACCTGAGCCCATCATTGTAGCTACTGTGTCAATCCATCTCATTGAAGGCCTTCCCCTTTTTCATTGACCCTCCAGTTTACCAAGCATGATATCCTTCTCTAGGAACAGTCCCTTCTGACAACATGACCAAAGTAGGTGAGATGACGTCTGGCCATTCTTGTCTCCAAGGAGCATCCCGGCTGCACTTCTTCCAGGACAGATTTATTCGTTCTTCTGGCAGTCCATGGTACCTTCAGTATTCTTCACCAACACCACAACTCAAAAGGATCAACTCTTCTTTGGTCTTCCTTATTCATTGTCCGGCTTTCACATGCATATGAGGTGATTGAAAATACCATGGCTTTGGTTAGGCGCACCTCAGTCTTCAAAGAGACATCTTGGCTCTTCAGCACTTGAAAGGGGTCTTTTGAAGCAGATTTGTCCAGTGCAATATGTCATCTGACGTCTTCACTGCTGCTTCCATTGGTGTTGATTGTGGAACCAAGTAATGTGACGGGAGGAGTGTGGTAGTTTGGTTTGTGTGTCAACTTGGCTGGGCCTGGTTGAGTGGCTGGGCAGCTGGTGGTAGTTACTCCCCATGATGAGACTAGCAATCAACTCCATGGTGGGATCTACCACAAGCAGCTGAGTAGCTGTCTTTGGGATGTGGTCTACTTCCTGTATATAAGGAGAAGCCTTGGGGATGGTCTCTAGCTCCTGGCACGCTTGGACCCTGCATGTAGCCATGCTGTTGCTCAGCAGCCTGCTATGCTCTGCCGACCTTGGGACTTACAATGGACTTAAGTTAATGGCCTGCCGTGGGGTTTGGTAACGTTGGGACTGTGCCTTTTTCCTTGTCAACCTTGGGTTTGTCAGCCTCAGCAGCCAGCAGCTGTCTGAGTGAAAAAACGCCTCTAGCTCCAGTGGGCCAGGAGCAGGAGGCAGAGCTGGACCCCAAGGTTGAGGGGCTTTCACCCAGTCCCTAGGGCTTGGCACTTTGAACTTGGACTTAAAGTCTCCAAAGTGTAAGAATAAACTCCTGTTTGTTAAGTGCATCCCATTTGTGGTATATTTCTGTCAGAGCGGCACTAGGGAACCAGGACAAGGAGGTAGGAAATGACAGCAGTAGTCAGGTCAGCAAAGGAGTGTCCCCTGCTTCCCGCACAAATGGAGGAGCAGGGCTGAGCCCCCTCCCTGCCCCACCCTCTCACTCCTCTTGAGAGACCAGTTTTGGGAACATGCTGAAATTTGGCCCATCTCTCTAGCTGAGTCCTCCAAGTAGATAAGGTTGTCCCTGGGAGTCCCCAGGCTGAGGGCTGTGCTCCCTGGCTGCAGGGTGAGAGAAGGAACCGTGTCAGCGAAGCTGGGGGCCAGGGGACAGCAGCCTTTGACTAGAATGGCAGGTGCCTGGGACAGAGTCTGAGGTCCATTCGCCAGTCCTGGGCATGGAAGCGCCCATCTTCCTTCTGAGGTGAGTGTGTTGTGGATACCGGGTGACACGTCAGGTGAACCTCAGGGAAAGGAGTTAATAGCATCTGCTGCACAGGTTGTTACAAGGATTGAGTGAGGACATGATGCTGGTGTCTGGTGGGGACTGGGGAAGTCATTGACATGGAGAAATTCAAGACCCTGCCCTTGGGTCCCTGGAGCCACCTGAAAATGCCAAAGATGAGGGGAGAGGAGGTGGCACTGGGGACAGCATGGTAAAAGGTCTGGTCTCAGCCACCTTCGACCTCATTATGAGTGCGGTGAACACTGTCACTCCTGGCTGGCCAGCATCTGAACACTTCCCTTGGTCCTGAGACTTCCCTCTTCATCTCCACCACTCCGCCTTCTCAGGTAGGGCCCTTCTCAGCACAGATGCTAAAAATGTTACTGGCCTTCCCAGCCTGCCTTGCATCAGGGGTCAGGTGTTCTATTGAGGGGGATGAGAATGCAGCATTATAGCGATGGTCCAGTGTCGGTGTGAAATGAGAGCCCAAGGCCAGTGCCAGCAGCGGGGGTATGTGCAGCAAGCCACTTCTGGGCTGCGATTTGGGGTGCTACTCCTGCTGTGTACAGCCTTTGGGCCTGGTTCTCTGTGACACACTCAAGGGTTTAAACGACTCAGAACTAGCTTCTCTTGCCTGGAACCAAAATCCAGGGAAGTATGGCTCACGAAGCAAGGGGATTGTGGGTGGTGCCATTAAAAGCCTAGTGCCCCACAGAAGGAAGAGTTAATCTGTGTCTATTCTGCACAGCTCAGAGCACAGGGCGAGGCCAAGCTCCTAGCTGGAAGCCACACTCCAGGAAGGCCAGCAATAGAGCAAAGCTGTCTAGGAGACAATCACCAAAGTAGAGAGGGGCCTGGCTGGGAGCAGGTGGAAGGCTTTGGGGGAGGGATGTGCCAGAGTGCTCTGGGGAGAAGATCCAGGGTTTAGGATCCAATGGCAGGTGTGCAGCCTTGGTTGACAGGAAGTCCAGACTGTGCTCAGAGCTGGAGTCATTCGGAGATGGACAGAGCCACCTTCCCAGGCCTAGAGGTGAACAAGCAGGACACCCTGAAGTGGACTAAGCAAAGCCAAGTGGGGGAAGGCCCCTCCAAGGTGGGCTTCCTGGCTCAGCTGTGGGCGACGCGTCTCCAGGTTAAAGGGCTGCACCAACACCTGAACAATAGACCTGGCAGAGGGCCACCTGCCTCAGGAGCAGCCCACGGTGCAGGGCGTGTGCCCCAGCCCCACCCAGAAGCCAACAAAGTTCCTTCCCACTCCACGAGTGGCCTAGAGGGAGATATTGAGGCCAAATGGCAAATCAGTAACTAGGAAGGGCTGGCAACAATCCCAAGAAACCACCTGAAACACTAAGCTGTCAGTACCCCGACAAGCCATCATTTTCCCTCTGATCACACTGACAAAAATCAAGAGATTGATAACAGGTGTGTGGGTGAGAATGTGGGGGAGCTGGCCCTCTCTCGTGTGCTGGTGGCAATAATACCTGAACAGCTGGTGCAGCAGGAACCTTGGCAAATCCTATGGCAGTCCCTCATGCACGTGTCTTCTGGCCCAGCAATTCCACTTCTAGGAATTCATCCCCGGCTACAGTTGCTCACGTGCAAAACGGCGTGTCAGCGAAGCTGTTGGCGGCAGCATTGTTGGTGAGAGCTAAGGATGGCAACAAGCGTCCTGTCACTAACAGAGGACTGCTCAAAGAGAAGGATGCTTTTATACACAGATATGCATGGTAAGAAAATTGTACGTGTGAACAATAAGCTATTTGTGTAATAAAGAAAAGAACGCATTTGTGGAGGAAAAAGACTGACCTCCCTGAATTTGGTCATATGTGCATGAATACTACAAACAACAAAACAGGAAAGGAAAACAAGATGTAGATAAAAGTCAGGGAGACTTATGGTACTTTGCAGGGTGAGTTCTTCAATGCCTTTTGAATTTGCTAAAGTGTGAGCGTAGAGAAAACAGGAAAAGGATTTGTAGCGAACACCAGAACTCGTGCCTCTCACCCAGTGTACCTCCTGGGTACCTCTGGCACTTGGTACTGTGCCCTCTTTGCAGGCAATGAAATGAAATCAGCTCAGAGAAGTTCAGGCAGCCGCCCAGCGTCACCCAGCAAGAGTGTGGCAGAGCTGGGGAACCCAAGTCTGCAGCCACACTTGGGGCGCCAGCTGGCCAGGGCCAGTCGCACTGTGCCAGCCCCAGAACTGGAACCTCTAGATCTGGGAGAAAACCAGCTGAGTGATCTTCCGATTTGCGGCAGGTAACTTCCCCTCATCTGTGCCATGGGGTGCAGGAGGAGTAAATTAGGGTGACAGGCCACCTCCACCCCTAAGCGGGTGCTCGATAAAATCCCGGGGTCGGTGCTCAAAACCTCTGGGCTGTCCTAGCTCTCCCAGAGCCTCCCCGGGCCCAGGCGTCTCGAACACAAACACTGTTTACTAACTTCATCCGATTGTTCATTCATTCGACATACATCTAAGGCAGGCGGTCATGCATCACACATCGGAGCCCGGCGCCCCGGGCCCCGTGCGCACGGGCCTTCTCCTCCAGCCCGCCTGGGCGCCCCTTGCACTTGCCCACGCCTCCGAGCTCCGACACGGCCCACTCGGGCACCGCCCGTCCGCCCCACACGTCCCTGGCGCAAAGCCGCTGGGCACAACGCGTTTACACTCGCCCACAGCAGCTTCCATCCCCGCTGCTCGGGGCTCCCAACGCGCCCAGAGCCAGCCCTGCATCAGCGCCTCCGCGCAGGTCCCGCCCTGCCCTCGCCCCCAGGCGGCCAATGAAGGCCTCGGTCCGGGTCTTCCCCGCCCACCCCGGGAAGCCCGGCCGTGGATTGGCCTGCACGGGGGCAGAGTCTCCCCCCCCCCGCCCCAGCCAATGAACTCCGTGGTCTGGAACTGCCACGCCCACCCCGGGAAGTCCGGCCCTTGATTGGCCTGCAAGGGCGCAGTGTCCCCCGCACGTGGGACGGGGGCGGGGGCGGGAGTGAATGAAGTGGAAGCGAGGCCCCCCGCCCCCGCGATCTCCTCCCCGTTCGCCGGCGCGGCCCGCCCCCGGTGGCGCCGGGTCCAGCATCGCCGGCGGCCGCCCGCTGCACCGGATCCTGGCGTCCAGCTCCTCGCACCAGGACCCCACGGCGCGGACCCGCGATGGCCAAGCGCAGCTCGCTCTCCATCCGCATCGTCGAGGGGAAGAACCTGCCCGCCAAGGACATGTGAGCGCGGCCAGGGACGGGAGCCCCAACTTTCCGGGGAGGGGTGCCACCCCTTAAGGCTGACCTTTCTGTGGGCCACACAGCACGCCCACAAGTAGAGCAGCGACGAGGGTGTGGCGAGTGTGGCCGCAGTGGGGGACTGGTAGGGAAAATGGGGACAGTGAGATTTTCTGCAAACACTGGACAGCAGCTGACAACAGGAGCAGAGGGTGTCAGTGAAGGGCGGGGACCGAGGAGGGGGCCCCCGTCTGTGCGGACGCTTACGGAGCAGGGAGGGAGCTAAGAGCGAATCTAGAGGACAAGGGGCTTTGCCGGTGGGAAAACATTCTGGGGAACTACCAGGGGTGTGGCTGCAGAGGATGGAGGTACCTCCTAGAAATGAGGGTTCCTTCTTAGCAGTTCAGAGCCCTCCGTACGCGGCAGTGTGCCCCTGACACACGTCTGCCTCTCCAACGTTCCCTGAGCCCGGGGGGAGCTCTTGAGAAGAGCAGGACAGGTGGAGATGGGCCAAGATAGGTCAGGAGGCCAGGATTCCTGCAAAATCGGGCAGATTGGGTCTGCATTGTGTCCCTTTAGTCCTGCCAACCACCCGGCAAGGCAGCTCTCAGCAGCCCATCTCACAGGCGAGGAAACCGAGGCTCAGAGGTGTGAAGTGCTGGCCCTAGTATCTAGGGCTTTCTCGGATCCTCAGCTGGATTTGGGGAGAAGGGTTCAGGGACCCCTTGCCCTACTCTTCTAGAAGGTCCCATAGGCCTGACCCCTGGCTCCTGGTTCTGCCAGCAGCTCCTTTGTGTACAGTCTTAGAGGCAGGTCTCTGCTTTAGCTTCAGTTTTTCCTTTTGTAAACTGAGGGTTGAAATCCCTCCCAGATGGGAGAAGTGAAAAACACACTGATGGAGGGGCACTGGCTGCCTGGAGCAGGGGCAGGGAGGCTGTCTAGAGTCCAAAGTCTGCTGGGCCAGACCTCCCCACCCTGCGCTCCTCAGCGGGCGGGCTCCGGGATACAGAGAGGTGGCAAGCCCAAGGTAGGGGGCACGGGCATCTCTCTCTCACATACATTGCCCCCTGAGTTCCCCTGAACTCATCATGCAAGCAGTTCCAGTTCAAGGGCCCCCTGGGCCTGCCAAGGCCAGGCTCAGCAGTTGCCATGGCGATGGGTGAGGGAGGAATGAGCCCTCTCAAAGTGGGTTTCTGTGCGTGGAGGAGGTGGGGCAGGAGCTGGGAGTGGGAATGTCTGTAGCTCTGAAAAGGGTCTTGGCCTCCAGGCCCATCCTATAAGCACCCCCATGCTGGCCCCAGTAACTAGGTCATCTTGGCCTCCTCTGGCTGGTGGCGGCTGGGAGGAGCGGCCCCTCCGTCTGTCGCCTCCCTCCCCATCCCAGCAGCAGCTGGCTCTCATGCAGGTTCTTACCAGCCCAGGGTGTACCCGCCTGGGAACCAAGGTGCCCCTCCCACAGCCCTGCCTCCATCCCGGAGGGCCCCCAGTCTTGTTGGTTCTGCCTCTGGAATCTCTTTCCTTCTCTATCCCCCTACCTCTCCTGACCACCTCTTCCCTGCCTCCTGCGTGGTGCCAGGGGTATTCGTTTAATCCAGCTCTGACCTGTCAACCCTCCCTTCTCCATGTGCATGGCCCGTCAGCGTGGTCATGTCACTGCCGACCCCCCATGGACCTGCTTTTGAGTATATTTAAAGCCCTTCTGCTTCCATACACTCCCGTTCGGAGTCCTCCAGAAAACTCCTATTCATCCTACAGGACCCCTCTCAGACATCTCCTCTCTAGGGCTTGCCCTGTGCTCTTGGTCAGGGTTCCTTGCCCCCATTTTGTGCCTTCCAGCACTTTGGGTCTGCTGGGGTGAGCATGGAGCCTTCGTGTGGCAGTTGCTCCTTCCCAGTCTGCCTGCCTGCCTGCCTGCCTCTAGGGCAGGGAGCGTGACTCATTTGTCTTGATATTCCAGGTCCCTGAGGAACACCTGGTCCCTAGGAAGGAGAAGAAGAGGTAGTGGGGCCCTTCCCATTTAATCTTTTTATTAGCTGTAGAAGGTAGATACGTTCGCTCAGTTTGTGGGTGAGGAATCTGAGGCCTGAGATGTTTAGTTTGCCAAGGCCACACAGCATGTACTTAGAAGTCAGAGTTCAGATCCTGCAGAAAGGACGAGGAGGCCACATGTTCTGACCTCCTAGAACCCCACAAGAGGAAGGCAGAATCACCATCAATAGCCCAAGGCCTATTACTTCAAGGCCAGACATGCTGCCTCCCTCCAGTCCTTTCACCAAGCGTTCCTCCCAAAGTACCCACCACCTCTCTCCTGGGTTCGATAATTCACTGCAGTGGCCACACAGAACTCACAGATTATGGGGTTTATCAGGGAAGCACCAGGCTACAATTCGAGTTCAGGAAAAATGCTCAGTCTCTCTCCCCAGCCCACCGTCTCTCAGCCAAGTCTCTCACAGTCTCTCCCCCAGCAGTGCATGTCCCTCGGTGTCTTCCTCAGCAATGCGTGTCTCTTGTGTTTTTCCCAGCAGCACGTGTCTCTTTCGGCAGCAGCGTTCTGCCTCTAGGAGGCCTCCTTTTCAGCCCGGCAGAGTGGCCAAACTAGCCAATCATAGCATCAGAACTCTAAGCACCTGAGAGAGAGTGGGAACCTCCCAGAACATTGTTTTGTGCCACTCCCAACAGAAATACTCCAGGTGGACACCTTCAGCAATCAGGAGCTCCTCAGGTGCCCATAGAAAATCCCACCTTGGAGTTTACAAAGACTTATGGGTAGAAAAGCCATACTAAGTAATTTACTACACTGCAGATCCTCTCTGCTGCTGGAATGAGCCAGGGATCCTGGCTGGACCAAGATTGAAAGCTAGCTGTGGTCACTAAGCTTCGAAAATCCTGTGCAAAGCATGGCTGCAGGGTTTCAGGGCCTCGGAGACCACCCGTGGCCCTCCTTTACTGTCTCGTGAGCAGTGTCTCCCCAGCCAGGGCTTGCACACTTCTGAGGACAGGGAGCTCACCACTTGCCATAGTGGTCTATCTTTATTGTTGTTGAGAAAATACACAGCAAAACATATACCCATCAATGGCCTTGATTACATTCCCTGAGTTGTGCAGCTATTCTCACCCTGCTTTTCGGAGTTGTTCCTTCTCCAGTAAGATAAACTCACTGCCCTTTAAGGCTCCTGTCTAATCTTTCGAGTTGCTGTTGTCAATGTGATCCCCTGTAGATAGTTCTTAAAAGAACATAATACTCAAGACAGGTATTTTTAAAGACATTAGTTAAACTATTGTCTGGTTCTAAGATGACTTCAGGGGATGTTTTTAGTTTAAGGTTTAAAGGTGATCTAGGGCAATAGTTTCAAGGCTTCATTCAGCCTCCATGGCTCCAGAAAGTCTATAGTCTATGAGATTTTTCCATTATGTTCTGCAGTTTCCCCCCTTTTGATCAGGATACTTTTATAGAATCTTTAATCAAAATGTTCAGTAATTATTGCCAGGCACCATCCAGTTCTTTTGTTCTCCTGGCAAAGGAGGCAGTTATTCATGGAAGCAATTAGCCACACATTCCATTGCCTCCTCCTGTTCCTGACTCTCCTTACTCTGTTGCTTCAGGTGAAGAAACACCAATTATGCCTTGGATGACAGGTTGCAAGCTTTCCATACCCCAGGCGCCATGCAGTCAACTGGGAGGTAGAACAGAAGCACTAAACACGTTATTAAGCCAATTAACTGAGATGTCGCATGAAACCATGACCCTAAACTTCCACAGTGAGGAACTCTGGTGGTTACTCCCCCTCCCCCATGGGTGCTGCTGGCCAGGGAACACCATCATCCCCACCCCCAGATGGAATGGCCTGTCCCCTGCCCCCCAGGCTGCACTGCTTGGGCCCTGCCCCTCCTGGCCCTGCCCCCTTCCACTCCCTTGAAGCTCCTTCTCTTTCCCATTGGCCAAGGCAGAGACCCTCTTCTCTGCCCCATGGTGTGTGCCACTCTGGCAGCCTGCACCCTGACAGGCAACGGGCAGGACTGGGGGGTGGGATGAGGGTGAGGGGGATAGTTAAGAGTTACTGCACTAGGTGACAGGTGACACCACCCTTAGTGATGCCATTGCCTTTGTGGTCCACTACTGCGGCACCAGCCTGCCACCACTGACCCTGGGGTCATTTTGGTGTCACCCCTGTGACAGTGTCAGGGGGTCTGTCTTCATACACAGACCCATCCTGCCTTCTCCCACCCTGCTTCCTCCTGCTGTCTGCTGCCCCTCGGTGTCTGGGTCAGCCAGGCAGGAGCTGAGTCTCACAGTGACCAGTGACCCAGCGGCGCCCACGTCCAGTGGCCCTGGGGACGGGCCTGGGGCTATTTTGGAGTTTGCCCTGATCACCGCCCTTCTGCAGCCTGGAAACTGCCAAGGCCCTAAATATAGAGGCCCCGCAAGTAGCCAGGCTGGGCCAGAGGCGACTGGCTGGGAAAGGAGAAGTGGAAGAGGGGGCCAGCCCAGGGGCCTCACTGGGGCGGAGAGCACTGGCAAGCGGGACAGGTCCCAGCGGGTCATCAAGGAGCCATGGTTGGGCCCAAGTTCTAAAACCTGGCCTCAGCCCACTCTTGACACTGTTCCCTTTGCACCCTCTGATCCACCCCTCCAGCCCATCGCTGCCCCGGCACCACCCCTCCCCATCTGTCCTGGCTTCCAGGCCTTTGCTTACCCAGTGATCCAGCCTGAAACACAAGCCCCAGGCCTCGCCATGCATTCGCATATTCATTCATTGTTCGTGGATCCATTCATTGAGTGAGAGGCAGCCAGGCAGCGCTGGGCCCACAGGGAAAAGCAAGAGGTTTTCTGTACCCGAAGGTCCACTGGCCTGGAGGTGGTAGCAAGCAGGGAAGAGGTGGCCTTGTGCTGGGGCTGCCCGTCTCAGCCTGCACTGACCTTCCCTCCTCCTCCTGTGCTCCTTGTACAAACACGGCTGATTCACATTCTTGCATTCTGTATTTGCAAATTCATCTGCTCGCTAACTTTATTTTGTACCCCCAAATCAATGATCGTGGCACTTTGACAGTCATTCCTGGAATGCACGGTGCAAGAGGCATAGAATTTGAGTTGCGTGACATGCGGGTTGCCAGCTGAGGTGTAACAAGGCAACACGTTGCCTTCTTGTCTCCGCTCTTAGAGTGTAACCAAGGGTCCTTCAAGCGTTCTATGTAGTGCCATGCTTTTTGCATTCTTGTGCTTTTCATGGCAATTTCACTGTTTAGAATGGCCCCCAAGCATTCTGGTAAAGTACTGGCCAGTTTTTCTGAGCTCACGAAGGCTGTGATGTGCTTTATGGGAGAAATCCGTGGGTGAGATCAGCTTTATTCAGGCAGGAACTTCCATGCTGTGGGCTGTGAGTTTTAATGTTAATGAACCAACAATACATATGAAATAAGGTGTCTTTAAACAGAAACACATGAAAAGAAGAAAGGTTATGTATGTATTGATTTGTTAGGAGCTCTGGTGGTGTCTGGTGGTGTTAAAAGGACTTGGCTGCTGACAAGAAGGTTGGCAGTTTGAACCTACCAGCCGCTCCATGGGAGAAAGTTGAGGAAGTCTGCTTCCATAAAGATTTACAGCCTTGGAAACCCTATGGGGCAGTTCCACTCTGTCCTGCAGGGTTGCTATGAGATGGAATTGCTTTATGGTAATGTTTTGTTTGTTTGTTTGTTTGTTATTGATCTGTTGACAAAAATCAGACCAGAGGCTTGCAGGACCCTAACCCTGCACATCCCCTAAAAAACCAAACTCGCTGCTTTTGAGTCGAATCTGTCTCATAGAGACCCCTCCTTGGGTTTCCAAGGCGGTATCTCTATGGGAGTAATTGTCCAGTCTTCATTCTGAGGAGTGGCTGGTGGGTTTGAACCTCCAGGCTTCTGGTCAGCAGTCAGGTGCCTTAGGCACTACCCCACCAGAGCTCCTCCCCTAGGAGTGGTGGTTCAGTATTTGCTAATTCAGTGTGTATGGCAACTCTATGGAACATAATTACCACCAATAGGAAGAGTTGGCCGTGTATGTGTGTGGCTTCTGGCTCTTCAGCCCAGCCCCCATTACCTGGGTGCACAGGGGGCTGATCGCTTGAGGCTAGGAGTCCTCTGGCTTTGAGGTGGGTAGAATGCAAGCTGGAGTGTTCACTGAGGGCTCCCTGGAAGAGGAGGTTCTTGCGTAATAGGGGCAGTTTACAGGCAGATGAGCAAGGAGACTCAGGCTGGGCTAACATTCACCGAGCAAGCCCGTGAGCTGGTATTGTGGGAAAAAGTGAGTCTTGGCAGGGATTTCCATTGGTGTCAGGACTTTTGGAGATGTTTTCCAGAGTGGCTTCCTCTGCCGGACAAGCCCCTTATGAGAAGGGAAGCAGGACATGGAATTCCCCAACCTCCCACTTGCTAGTACACTTCCTTTTAACGGACGCCAGGAGGGCAGTTCTGGAGAGAGTCCTCCCGTGCCCCTTCCACAGTACCATCCCTGGGCCTGCCTGGAGACCCCGCTAGACTCTAGGGATCCCCCACATTCAGCGTCAGTTGGAACTGAGTGCCCCCTGTTTTGCTGGCAGCTCCTGAGGCCAGACTGTGTGCTGTTTGTTCATTCAGCCCTTTATTCATTCAGCAAACACTCACAGGACCCCTGTTCTGTGCCAAGCCCTGTGCGGGGCCCTGTGGACATAGCAGTGGTCTGCCCTCAGATAGCTCATAGGTCAGGGAGGCATTGATGTTCTTGTATCCTGAGCTGTGCTGGGGTGACGAGGGACCTGCAGCAGGGTCCCCAGAACTAGCACCCCAGCCTCTGAGACAGGGGCTTCTTAGTGGGGGCTGATGGTGGGGGAAGTGGGGGGACATTCTGGGCAGGGGACCCGCAGGAGCAAAGGGGATGCTGTTCTGACTGCTCCCCAGAACAGGCCGGCTGGGGTGGGGGTGGCTGGGGTGGGGGTGGGAGTGGGCGGGAGGAAGCACCCTTTGTCCCCAGGGAGGGGCGTGAGGAATGACACTCTCTGCTCCCTCCACCCCCGATGCCTGGGCAGGAGTAGATTGTCCAGTCTTCATTCTGAGGAGTGGCTGGTGGGTTTGAACCTCCAGGCTTCTGGTCAGCGGTCAAGGGCCTTAGGCATACCCCACCAGAGCTCCTCCCCTAAGAGGAAGTCTGCTTCCATAAAGATTTACAGCCTTGGAAACCCTATGGGGCAGTTCCACTCTGTCCTACAGGGTTGCTATGAGTTGGAATTGCTTTACGGTAATGTTTTGTTTGTTTGTTTGTTTGTTTGTTAGTTATTGATCTCCTTTCCTTCTGGCTCCTGTCTTTCCCTCCTGGCCTCCCACCCAGACTGAATGGGGGGGCACATGTTTAGGCTGAGAAGCCTTTGGGCCTCAGCCCTGGACCCTGTGCAAAGCCTTTTCCTGGGGCCACTGAGGGCCCCTGGCAGAGAGAGAGGAGCTGCCTGGGGGGCCCATCCTTGGCCCCGCCTCTAGCAGGCCTCCCACTCAGCCCCTCCTTTCCTTGTCTGTCTTGTAGCAGCGGCAGCAGCGACCCCTACTGCATCGTGAAGGTGGACAATGAACCTATTATCAGGTACTGCCTGCGCCCCCAGGACCAGGGCCTGGGAAGGGGCTCCCTCCGGGAGTATACCCTCTCCCCCCTGCTCATTCCATCTCACACTCTCAGTGGGGTGTGGGTTTTGTGCAGAGGTGGGTGAGGGCTTAGAGCATCTAATCCCCTGGGCCCCCCACCATGCCCTGACACTACCCAGGGCAGTGAGGAAGGCCTACCTGTAGTCATGGACCTTAAACGCCTGTCCACTGATTACCTGCTGTGGGGCTGGGAGCTTGGCCAAAGGATGGTTGCCTGGCTTTATTCATGTCTGCAAGCTTGTGAGGGAGAGATGACGGTGACGACCATGACCATGACCATGACGCAGTGTCCACTTGAGCACTGTCTACTTAATTCTTACAATGAGCCAGATACTGTATCATTCAAGCCTACTACAGATGGGGAAACTGAGGCTTAGAGAGACTAACTTGCCAACATCACATACCCAGTAAGTGGCAAAGCCAGACAGGAGCTCAAGTCGTCCAGCCCCAAAGCCCAAGCGCCTTCCACAGTGCTCCTCTGCCTTCCCTGGTCCTTGTTCCAACTCAGGGGCCCCCTCTCCCTCTACAAAGACTGCTTCTCTCCAGGCTCGGAATCCCCAGCCATTTCCTCTGATGCCCCTTCCTCCCTTGTGCTATTTGGGGGTTCCCAAGCCCACCCTCAGGTTCAGTAGTTCACTAGAAGGACTCCTGGAACTTCGAAAAGCCATTATTGTCACAATTGTGGTTCGTGACAGCAAAAAGAGACTAAAACCGGCCAAGGGAAGATGTGTGGAGGGCAGGGAGACACCAAGCCCCAGCTTCTGTTGCCTTCTGCCAGTGGGGTCAGACCAACAACGCTTGCTTCGCCCAGCAAGTGAGGAGGAAGCACAGGTGAAGTGCTGCCAACTAGGGAACCTTACCCGATCTTGGCGTCCAGAGTTTTCGTTGGAGTTGGTCACACAGAGATGGCTGACCACTCAGATACAAAACTTCGGTGGCGTAGTGCCTAAGGCATTTGACTGCTAACCAGAAGGTTGGCGGTTCAAACACACCAGCCACTCCTTGGAAGGAAGATTGGGCAATCTACTTCCGTAGAGATACTGCCTCAGAAACCCAAGGAGGGGTCGCTATGAGTTGGATCTGACTCCACAGCAGTGAGTTTTTTGGTTTCATTTTGGTTGGACCACTCACATGGCTGACCTTAACCTCTAATCCCTTCAGAGGTCAAGGTGATACCATATGGCCCAATCACATTGTTAGCATAGACTATCTGGCATGGTCCAGGGCCCCCAGGTAAACAAAGACACTCTTATCAAGCAGGATATTCCAAGGGCTTAAAGGTTATGTCCCAGGAGCTGGTTGAGAGCCAAGCTTTAATGTACAGGGTGTGGACACCAGACTCACTGTGTTGTTAATTCTTTACTGCACACGTTCCCTCCCCATCTCTGGGCCAGGCATAACGTAGGGCCTTGGATGCCCTGCCCCTTCCCTCATCGAGGCCCATCTCTAAGTGAATGGCCAGAGATGCTTCCAGTGTTCTGCTTGCCTTAGTCTCTGTTGTTGTCCGCAGGCCAAGGCCACTGGACAACAGTTCTTCCTGCCTGCAGGCACGGCCCCAGTCTTTCTCTAGATTCCCTCAAAACCATGGATACCAAGGGGCTAGAGAGGCATTGGGGGTCTGACTGTCTCAATTACAGACAGGGACACCGAGGCCCCAGAGCTCAAATGACCTGCCTGAGAAGTGGCTGGAGTGAAAATGGTTCCTTGTGCTTACATTCCAGTCCTTGGAGGCTTCAGCTCTCCTCACACATACCCTGGGACATTCCATGAATTGAAGGCTGTGGTCCTCAGGGGTTTGGCCAGAGCTGGGTTAGGACCTGCCCGGACAAGACCTTGTGGCTCTTCATCCCAGTGCCTCCCAGGAGGACTGCCCGGCTCCTGAGTCAGCTTGGCCAGCCTCCTGGCTCCGCCCTTGGCAAGTCCGCTCCGAATCAGGAGCTGAGGTGGGGCTGGGAGGCCAGTCTGGTCCCAGCTCTCCTGCCACCCTGCCGTGTCACCAAAGGCCCGATGGGAACTCAAGTCTGGCTGAGCCCGAAGCTGGAGCTCCTTCCACAGTGCTCCTCTGCCCTCCCTGGTCCTCCTTCCAACTTGGGGCCCCTCTTCCTGAGAGAGTCCCACAGTGATCACCCCTTCCTCCAGCCTCAGCTTCTCAGACTCAGTTTCTCAGTAGTGATTACTACTTCTTCCAGTCTCAGTTTTCCCAAATGTAAATGCTGGAAAGACACAGCCCTGGCCTCACGAAGGGGAGAGGAAAGTCAGGAAGGGGGTGATTGTTGGTGGAGGGCTCTGGGACAAGGAGGCCTCAGACGACAGAGCCAGTTGTCATCACTGGGGTGGGGAGAGGGATGTGGAGAAAGGTGGGCTCCTTTCACACAGTCCTGTCTTGCTGCAGCCCGGGGCATGGGGGTGGCCAGGGCAGATGCTAAGGGGCCGCTCTTGTAGGACAGCCACTGTATGGAAGACCCTGTGCCCCTTCTGGGGTGAGGAGTATCGAGTGCACCTGGCACCCACCTTCCACTCTGTGGCCTTCTATGTCATGGACGAGGATGCCCTCAGGTGGGTGGGCCCCACTCTTCACCTGGGGTCTGGACCTGGACATCTGCCCCCTCCCTGGCCCATTTCACTCCTGGTCTCACTGGGTGCATTGCATCCTCTGTGAGAACCCTTCTATGTTTATACCCTTCTATATCCAAAGGCAATCTACTTCCGTAGTGATGCTGCCTTGGAAACCCAAGGAGGGGTCACTATAAGTCAGGTCCGACTCGACGGCACATAACAACATATCCAAAGGAGGAGCTTTGGTGGTCTAGTGCCTAAGGCATTTGACTGCTAACCAGGAGGCTGGCGGTTCAAACCCACCAGCCACTCCTTGGGAGGTTGGGCAATTTACTTCCATAGTGATGCCGCCTCAGAAACCCAAGGAGGTGTTGCTATGAGATCCAATGTGTGTGTTTGTTTGTTGAATATCCAAAGGGTGGGGGAGCCCAGGAGGGGTTGGTAGATGCAGTGTGTCTGCAATAGATGCAGGGTGTCTGTGAGTGAGGATGCCTGCATCACGTCATATATGTGCACAGGTGGGAATTGCATGTGATCCAGTGTTACATGTGCATGGGGGTGTGAGTCATGAAGGGGCCCCAGATAGCATGAGCTTGGCACGCGTGTGGACACACAGTGGTCCGTGTGCCGAAACAGCATGTGCCCGTGAGAGTGTCCAGAAGCCAGGGCCTGCAGGAGAAGGGTCTCAGAACCAGCCCTCGTCTTGGGTCCTGCTCCGAAGGGCCCCCACAAGTGGCTGGAGTGACTGGAGTGCTCACACAGGGGCTCTGAACTGGGTGGGAGGGGGTCCTGGACTCCCAGAGCACAGATGCTGTAGCCCCACCCAGCTCTGACTCCTGCTCCACCCTCCAGCCGGGATGATGTGATCGGAAAGGTCTGCCTGACGCGGGACACCCTGGCCGCCTACCCTAAGGGTAAGAGCTGTGAGACGGAGTCCATGCCCAGCAACCCTGGTCTCCCTCTCTGACTCCCTCACTTCTCTGCCTCATCCCTGCCTGGCTTGCACCCAAGGGCCCTCCCTCTAGACTCCTTCCAACCCCTAAAAGTCTGGGCCTCTGGCCATCTCCTGTACCCCCTACCTCTGGGTCCTGGCCCCCATTTAGCCTCTGGGTTGGGACAGCATCTTCTCTAGAGTAAAGAGTTGATGCTGGTGATGGGATCTGAGGGTGCTGTAGGCAGAAGGGGACCCCTTCTTTCCATCAGATGGCTCCTCTGTGGCCTGTGGGGTCCTCTCAGCCTGGGCTCCCTGCCACTCTCATGTCTGAGGAGTCATGTCTGAGGGCTGGAGGGCCACCGACATGGCTCCTGGGATGCTGACAAGGTCGCTGTATGACCTTGACCTTCCTGGGCTGAGCCCTGTCCTGGCAAGGGTTCAGGCCAGCAGCTCCTAGGTGCTTCTGGCTCTGCCAGCCGGAACCTCGCCCCCGGCACACACCTGCTCCTGTCTGTGAGGCCAGGGCAGACGTGCAGGGGTGGGGGAGAGAAGGGGACTTTGCTGACTCATGAGGCCTCTGGCCCTTGCCAGGCCAGAGGCCTCTCCTCCTATGTCCTCAGCCTGCCCCTCTGGGCCCCAGTGACCACAGTGATGCCATTCCTTAGTGTCTTCTCTGACTTCCCCATCCGGACCTCAGGCCCTTCTCTAGGCAGCCCTGAGAGAGAGGCACTTCCCTGGTTTCAAGATGGGGAAACTGAGCACGTGATCCCACGATGAGTTGGGGTCAGGGCTGCCAAACACAGCGTGGCACAGCAGTGAGGACACTGGCCCGGCAGGCCCCAGGACTTGGATTCTAATCTTGGCTCTCCCACCTGCTGTTGCTTAGCTTCTGAGCCTCAGTTTCCACTATTGGTCCCTTGGAATAACAGCCCCCACCTCACAGGGGCTTGAGCAGATTCTGAGGGGATTATGGAGGGGTCACTTGGGGCCTGGTGGAGGATGAGGGTGGAGGGCATGGTGGGAAAAGCCAGGCCCCAGCTGAGCCCCCGCCCACAGGTTTCAGTGGGTGGGCCCATCTGACCGAGGTGGACCCTGATGAGGAGGTGCAGGGTGAGATCCACCTGCGGCTGGAAGTGGTACCTGGGACCGGCCCCCACCGGCTGCGCTGCTCCGTGCTGGAGGCCAGGTGAGAGGTGGGGCTGGAGAGCGGGGCAGTGGGCCTGCAGGGACCACGACATTGGAGAAACCCATGGGGGCCTCTGAGCCTCCTCACCCTCCACATCTTGGCCCCAGTACTCTGCCTCTGTCCACCCAGGCCTGCTCTCAGGAGACAATCCCAGTTTCCTTGTCTTGAAGGTATTTTCTGGGTGCCCCACTCAGGGAGATGGGCCCCTTAGGGGGTGAGATGGTGTTCTAATGGTGGGACTCTGGGCGTTATAGAGAGGGTTCCCAAAAACCAGATTCACTGCCATCAGGTCAGTTTGGACTCACGACCCACTGCCGTTGAGTTGGATCCAACTCATAGCGACCCCTCCTTGGGTTTCTGAGGCGGTATCACTACGGAAGTATATTACCCAACCTTCCTTCCGAGGAGTAGCTGGTGGGTTTGAACTGCCAGCCTTCTGGTCAGCAGTCAAATGCCTTAGGCACTATGCCACCAGAGTTCCTGTTTGGACTCAGGGACCTCTCGTTGGGTTTCCAAGGCTGTACATCTTTACAAAAGCAGACTGCCTCATCTTTCTTCCAGAGCCACCGATGGGTTCAAACCACTGACTAACCTTTTGGTTAGCAGCCAAATGCCTTAACCACCGCACCACCAGAGCGTTTAGCCGCACACATTTGGCCTGGTGTGTGCGTGTGTGTGTGTGTGTGTGTGTGTGTGTGTGTAAGGAGAGGTTCTCAGTGGGGTGGGAGGGTCAGAAAAATTTCTGAGAACCTGCAGATGGCAGGGCTGGTGGGGGATAGCCCCAGGAGGGGCAGTGCCTTGAATGGGAAGGGGGTGCTGGCTCTGTGGGTCTGAATCACCTGTGGCAGCCCCCCTCCCCCCCTCCAGGGTATTTTTAGCTGCAGGCCCACCCCTGTCTGGGCCTGGGTGTGAGTCACACACTTGCCATGAGGGAGCGTCTTCCTCTCTGGTTTCAAGGCCACTCCATTGGGTCCTTCCCTGCTGCGAGGTGGGAGGGCGTCGCCCTGGAGGACAGCAGCACTGAGCCAGCACCTTGGGCCACCTGTGCTGGGAGGGAGGGCGGCCGGCTTCTCTGGAGGTAAAGATTGCTCTTCTGGAAAGGAGAGCGGGCCTGGGAGGGGCGGGGACATTCTGTGACCCCACCCCTAGCTTTACTTCTCCAGGGAGCTGGACTATGAAAAGACATAGCTGCCTGGGGACACAAGTCCCGCCCCTCCCGGCTCCACCCTTCCTCACACACCACCCCACGCTCACCACCTTTCTCCTGCCTCCCCAGGCTATCTGGGGGCACGCTCACAAGTGCTGCCCAGCTCCTGGGGTCTTGGGGGCTCTTCTCCCAGCACCCACCTGCCACAAAGGGAGATGCCAGGGTTTTCTCCCACACCTTCTCTCCCTCACCTCTCTCAGCCCTCTGTTCCTGAGGGCTGTTGGAGAGACGACTAGTCTGAGTCCACTTGTCACCCACTGTCCCCAGCCATGAGACCCTTGCTGGATGTTTGAGGTAACGCAGAAAGCCCGATTTGCTGCAGGGAAAGAATGAACTTTTTCTCCTCATCTTTCATGGCAGATTCTTAAGGCCAATCTCCGGGATTCTCTAAGTTCTGAGGAGGTTGAAAAGCAGGCAGGAGAGGAAAGGAGACGGGCAGGAGGGAATGTTAATAAGCCGTGGAAGAAGAGTGGGCTTCATAGCTCTCCAGAAGGTTCTAAGTCAGGGACCGTGTAGAGCCCTGTTGGGTCCTGTATCTTGACCTTCCCCACTTACCTGCATAGGAGCTCTGGTAGGCACTTGACTGCTAACCAGAAGGCTGGCGGTTCAAACCCACCAGCCACTCCTCGGAAGGAAGGTTAGGCAATCTACTTCTGTAGTGATACTGCCTCGGCAACCCAAGGAGGGGTTGCTATGAGTCAGGGCCGACTCGACGGCACATAACAACAACAACTACCTGCATATCATGGAGGAGATGTTCTAGAAACCTGTTGTCTCTACTGAGGAAACCAAGCTCAGAGACGTTGTCCTTGCCCAAGGTGGCCCTGGGAGCAGAGGGCATTAGGGCCCATGGCCCCGGCGGTTGCCATGGCTACATTTCCCCCCACACACACACCCCTAGACTGAGGGGTGGCAGCTGGTCTGCAGGTGCTCAGTTGGAAGGAGCTGTGGCCCCTGCCTTGGGCCAACTTGGTCTGGGCAGGTGGCACATGGGGGACAATGGAGCAATCATTGTGGGAATCGGGGCCCAGAAAAGAGACAGGTGCTGTCCACAGCCACCCCACTTGGCAGGGGCAGCCTGAGGTGCCTAGACCTTCCTCTGGGAGCAGTCACCCCATGGTGGCAGGGTGGCAGTCAGGGAGGGAGAGGTGGGGGCTTGGGTGACAAGTCATTGATCGCTCCCTTCCCCAGGGACCTAGCCCCAAAGGACCGGAATGGTGCATCTGACCCCTTTGTGCGAGTGTACTACAATGGCCGGACACGGGAGACCTCGGTGAGGAAGCTAGGAGGGGCAGGGAGGCTCAGGGACACACCAGGTCCTTGCCACCTCCTCACCACCACCTGGAGGGCAGGTTGGGCAGGAAGTCACAGAGGCACTGCAGAAGAGCGGTACAGACTCTCTGAGGGCACTGAGTGGGTTCCAGGCCTCCAGCCCCTGTGACCTCAGCTAGGCTGGGGGCCAGGTAGGGGGGGAGTTGAGGTAACCATACCTGTGGAGCATGGTATGGCCCACACTGAGTTCCTCACCTCCTGGAATGGCTGGGATGGTGGGCTCAGCCTGGGGTGGAGGCGTCAAGACCTGGGTTCTCAGGGCAGTGTGCCACCATTTTGCTGTGTGGCCTTGGACAACTCCCTCACCCACTCTGGGCCTCAGTGCCCCTCCCATCTGAGAAATGGGAGGGGGGCTTGGGGATCGAACAGGAAGTTGTTCCGTCTAGTATTTAGGACCTGCGCCTGGTCTCAGGAGAGGGGCTGCATCGAGGCCCTTGCAGGAAACCCTGGGGAGGTGTTTGGGGTGGGTGGGCCTGGGGAGCCTGTGGAGTCAAGCCCACCCTTGCTTATAGATTGTGAAGAAATCATGCTACCCCCGCTGGAACGAGACGTTCGAGTTTGAGCTGGAGGAGGGGGCTACGGGGGCACTGTGCGTGGAGGCCTGGGACTGGGACCTCGTCAGCCGCAACGACTTTCTGGGCAAAGTGAGCTCCGCTCTGCCTCCCCACCCCAGTCCCCAAGGCTGCACCTGCCGCCTTCAGCATCTGGCCTCCAGTCCCACCCCTGAGGGCCGCCCTCCAGCTCCCCAGAGAGGGGCACTCAGAAGGCCTGGGACTCCCCAGAACCAGAAGCTCCCCTTCCCATGCACTGGTGCCCAGGGACCCTGAGAAGGTAACCCTCCCTCCACAAGACCAGGAGTGGGCAAGGAAAGAGCTGAGTATCCCAGCCCCAGCTTGGTCTCCCCACTCTGCTCTGTCCCCAGGTGGCGTTCAATGTTGCAGGACTGTGGGCAGCCCAACAGGAAGAGGGCTGGTTCCGGCTGCAGCCCGACAAGTCCAAGAGTCGCAGGAACGAGTGAGTGCTGGGGGCTTGGCAGCAGGGTGGTGGGCTCTGGCCCAGGGTGGAGGCTGGCTGAGAGTGGGCTGCAGGCAGGCAGTGAGGGAGGGCTGGTCAGGGGTCAAAGTGACACAGTCCTGGAATTCTTTCAGCCCTTACCTGTCAAGCCAGGATCCATCTCCATCCCAGACCAGTTACCATTGCCTCTTCCTTCCCACAGTCCTGGACTTAGCCTTGTCCTCTGAGCTTCAAGACAGTACTAGTCTCCTGCTTTCTGGCTTTTCTCAGTTTCTGGAACAATCCCTCAGACCCTTTTCCTTTAAGAGTTTTCTTGCAGACCCCAGGGTTCTGAGTCGGGATCCTTGAGTTATAGCTCTGACTGCCTGGGATTTCCCAGGCATAGGATTGCCAGATAGGAAGAAGACACCCAGTTATAACTCAGTTATAGATAAACAATCATGTTTAGTGTAAGTATGTTCATGGGGTATCAGGATTGGAGGAAGACTCATTAGCAACCTACAATATGTAGATGACATAATCTCACTTGCTGAAAGCCAGGAGGTCTTGAAGCACTCACTGATGAAGATCAAAGACTACGGCCTTCAGTATCAACACAAAACTACGGCTTACATCTCAACACAAAACAAAAATCCTCACAATTGGACCAGTAAGCAACATCATGGTAAGCGGGTAAAAGACTGAGGTTGTCAAGGATTTCATTTTACTTGGATCCACAATCAACACCCATGGAAGCAGCAGTCAAAGAATTAAACAACTATTGCATCGGGCAAATCTGCTGCAAAAGACCCCTTTAAAGGGTTGAAAGGCAAAGATGTCACTTTGAGGACTAAGGTGTGCCTGACCCAAGCCGTGGTATTTTCATTTACCTCATATGCATATGAAAGTTGGATAATGAATAAGGAAGACCGAAGAATTGATGCATCTGAATTGTGGTGTTGGCAAGGAATGTTGAATGTACCATGGTGCCAGGGAACAAAGTGTCTTCGATGAAGTGCAGCCGGAATGCTCCTTAGAAGGGAGATGGCCAGACTTTGTTTCTTGTATTTTGGTCATGTGATCAAGAGGGGCCAGTCCCTAGAGAAGGATATCATGTCTGGTGAAGTAGAGGGTGAGTGAAAAAGCGGAAGGTGGATTGACACGGTGGCTGCATTGGTGGCTTAAACAGAACAGTGACTGTGAGAATGGCACAGGACTGGGCCGCGTTTCATTCTGTTGTACGTAGTGTCGCATGAGTTAGGACCAACTCAGCGGCACCTAACAACAACAACACGTTCGTGCAGTATTTGAGACATAAAGCAAAAAACCAAACTTACTGCCATCGAGTTGCTTCTTACTCACAGCGACCCCTCCTTGGGTTTCCGAGGCAGTATCTCTATGGAAGTAGATTGCCCAATCTTCCTTCCGAGGAGTGGCTGGTAGGTTTGAACCGCCAGCCTTGTGGTTAGCAGTCAGATGCCTTAGGCACTACACCATCAGAGCTCCTACTTGAGACATATTTACACTAAAAATTTCGCATTTAACTGGGCATCTTGTATTTCTGTTTTTCTAAATCTGGCAACCCTCTCCAGGAAGCCCCTGACCTCCTTACCCCCTGTTCCCTAAAGCGGAAGCTCAGCAGGGCCCCCACACCCCGCTGATGATTTAGCTTTGCTCCTGTCTCCCTGTGGAAGCCCATCCCGGGCTCTTAACCGGGTAGAAGGTGTGCCTCCAGCACCAGGGCAATTGCACGGAGCAAGCCGAGGGCATGTCTCCACTGAGCGTGCTTGGGTGACCCTTTGCTGAGCAGCATCGTGTTGAGGTCTATCTACCGTGTGCTGAGGGCCGGGGTCTTTGAAAATGTTAAGCCTTAGTTAGCGCTCCCCACCGGAAGGGCCCGAGCAAGGGAACTTGGGAGTTAGGTCAAAAGTGGCAAGTTGCTCAGCCTGCCTGAGCTTCAGTTTCCCTTGGTGGGTGGATATAAGGGCAAAGGGAGGCAGTGGATGGGCTTTGCTTCAGGGGTGAAGTGTACCCAGGAGGGAGGTGTTATCTGGGAGTTACGGACCCGAGGCTGGGGAGCCCTCCATGTCCACGGGAATCAATCTGGAGTCTGGAGGGAGCAAGGCCAGGCCTTGAGGATAGGTGGGGTTTCCATGAGCACTGAGGCAGGAATGACTTTCTAGACAGACAGCAGCATGGGCAAAGAATGGGATAGTGCTGTGCACGCCAAGCTGGAGGCTATGAGCAGAGACTCTGGGGGACTGGAGGCAGTGGGGAGGGGCCGTGGCCCAGGACGGCCTGGGTCCCTGGTGGAGAGGTCATAGGCTGCCCATTCCAGGAGCAACCTGGGCTCCTTGCAGCTGGAGGTATGGCTGCGGGACGAGACGGTGCTGCCATCCAGCTGCTACCAGCCCCTGGTGCAGCTGCTGTGCCGGGAGGTGAAGCTGGGCACCCAGGTGAGGGGTGCCCGGGGGGGACGAGGTGGGAGGGTCTTCCCTGTCCTCCTAAACCCACTCCACAGAAGGCAAAACCGGGTCCTCAGGACGGTAGGGGGCTGGCCAGCGCTGAGCTGGGCCTGTGCTGGGAGCCTGCTGTGCCCAGGCCTCACTACCCCTTGGGCAAGTGTCCCCCTTCCCCGTAGTGCTCCAAGGGCCCTGGCCACACCCCCCCAGCCCTGCCTGTCCTTGCCGCCCCCTGCAGGGCCCAGGGCTGATTACACTCATCGAGGAGACCACCAGCACCGAGTGCCGCCAGGAGGTGGCCACCAACCTGCTCATGCTTTTCCTGGGGCAGGGGCTGGCCAAGGACTTTCTGGACCTGCTCTTCCAGCTGGAGCTGGGGCGCACCAGTGAGGCCTGGGTGAAGCAGCTGGTCCAAGGGTGTGGCCGAGAGGGGAGCGGGGGCCAGGGCCTTCGGAGATGCTGGGAAGGGAGAGACCCAGGCAACTTCCTCCGGGAGAGTGACGAGTCAGATCAGGAGAGCCGCAGGAGGCAGGCAAGGGATTGGAGCAGGAGGACAGTGGGTGGGGAGGCGGCCAGGAGGCTGCTCACTGAGGGGCCAGCTTAGAGCGCCCAGCCTCCTCTTCTCCTCTTGGAGGCCCTGTCCTCCCACCCAGTGGAACCTCTCCTCGTAGGCGAGGCCAACACCCTGTTTCGGAGCAACAGTCTGGCCTCAAAGTCCATGGAGTCTTTTCTGAAGGTGAGTTTGCATCCTGTACTGACGTTTTATACACAAGGAGACCAAGACAGGCCAAGAGACAGAGGGGACCTGAACTCACGCCCACTACTCTTTAAGGCTAAGAATTCCATTAATTCACTCAGCAGCTGCGTACCATGCCCACTGCCCTACTTGTGTGGGTAGAACCCTCCAGGCCAGCTGTATGGGTACAGGGGGACAAGCGGGGCAGGGGCGAGAGGGAAAGGGCGTGAGTCACGGAAGCTGGGGAGACTGATGCTGGGAGATGGTGGGCAGCTGGAGGTGGAGAAGGACCAGTCCGGCTCTTGGTGGTCCCCAGGTGGCTGGGATGCGTTATCTGCACAGCATTCTGGGTCCCGTCATCGACAGGGTATTTGAGCAGAAGAAGTACGTGGAGTTGGACCCGAGCAAAGTGGAGGTCAAGGATGTGGGGTGAGGCCAGGGGTAGTTCCCGGGAGCGGGGATGGTTAGGCTCAGTCTCTGAATGGGTTTATGGCGCTTTCTGCCTGGGGTTTACCTGTGGTGACTCTACCCTGTTCCACCTGTGTCTTAACTCTGCGCCCCTGTCTCTGCTGAAGCCTTTCTGTGCCTATCCCCACGGCAGGCCCTGCCCGAGCCCGCCGCCCGCCGCGGGTGCAGGTGCTAACCACGCCCCTCTCTCCACCGGTCCGCCCCGCCCACGCAGGTGCTCGGGGCTGCACCGCCCACAGACCGAGGCCGAGGTGCTGGAGCAGAGCGCGCAGACGCTGCGCTCCCACTTGGGGGCGCTGCTGAGCGCGCTCAGTCGGTCCGTGCGCGCCTGCCCCGTGGTGGTCCGCGCCACCTTCCGCCAGCTGTTCCGGCGCGTGCGCGAGCGCTTCCCCAGGGCCGAGGACGAGGTGCGCCTTCCTGGGGCGGGGAGAGGGAGGAAAGTGGTGGGGGAGAAGGGACTGCGGGCCACGGGGAAGGTGGGGAAGGTGGAGGGTTGGAAGCGGACGAAGGGCAGGGCGGGGCCGTGGAGAGAGTCGGAACAAAGGAAAGAGGGCGCAGGAGGCCAGGCCTGGGGAGAGAACAGCTCGGCTCTCCCCTGTCGACCCTTCAGAACGTGCCCTTCATCGCCGTGACCAGCTTCCTGTGCCTGCGCTTCTTCTCTCCCGCCATTATGGCGCCCAAGCTCTTCCACCTGCGGGAGCGACACGCGGACGCGCGCACCAGCCGCACGCTGCTGCTGTTGGCTAAGGTACAAGCCTGCAGACAGTGGCGGGGTGCCTGACTGCATGTAGGAGAGGTTGCGCCTGTCTGGACCATCGTGTGTTCGCGACTGATTCCCAGAAGGCCTTGTGAGGAGGCCAGTGATAACGCCCACGTTGACACCTTACTTCACAGTTTACAAAGATTTCTCATGCTCATCTCACCAGAGCCCAAACTCATAGATAAGGAAAATGAGCCCTGCCAGGTTGCCCAAGTGGTGTAACAGGGACTTCCAACCTGATCTAGTTACTCCCTGGTCCCAGCAGGCAGGATTCTAGTCACGCCTGCAAACCAAGAACCCAAACTCATTGCCATCCAGCCCATTCTGACTCAGTGGTCCCCATTTCCAAGGCTGTAAATCTTTACAGAAGCAGACTGCCTGGAGCAGCTGGTTTGAACCACTATTTTGGTTAGTAACCAAATGCCTTAACCACTACACCACCAGAGCCCGCAGAGGAAGGTTAATGGGTTGGGCCCCAATGGTCTAACCTACTGAAGTCCCAAAAGGCTTCAAACTCTGATCAGTTCAACTCTGATCCCCAGTGGGGCTGGGCTGGGCCGTGAGCGGGGCCGTGCCGCCAGGTGCATCAAGGGAACCATGAACTCAACCCTTCTTGGGAGAAGAGGCTCAGCTGACAGCTGGACTGGCCCTTCCTGCCCCCAGGCGGTGCAGAACGTGGGCAACATGGACACGCTAGCTTCCAGGGCCAAGGAGGCATGGATGGAGCCCCTGCAGCCCACTGTGCGCCAAGGCGTGGCCCAGCTGAAGGACTTCATCACCAAGCTCGTGGACATCGAGGAGCGAGAAGGTGAGCGATTCCCTGTGAGTCTCGCCCACCGCCGTGTTAGCCTCTCGAGGCCCCGCCCACAGCCTCCTGTGATTGTCTGCTCCGCCCATGGCCCTGCCCCCCGCTGCTGGTGCCTCACACGGCTCCTCCCACAGCCTCCAGCTGTCTTTTGCTCCGGCCCCGCCCCTGCTCACCTAGCTGTCTTTTCGTCTTACGCATCCGGCCGGGCAGAGCTGGACCTGCAGCGGACGCTGAGCTTGCAGACGCTGCCGGTCAAGGAGGGGCCTCTCTTCATTCACAAAACCAAAGGCAAGGGCCCCCTCATGTCCTCCTCCTTCAAAAAGCTCCACTTCTCCCTCACCACCGAGACGCTCAGCTTCTCCAAGACGCCCAGCTCCAAGGTGGGTAAAGAGGGAGGCAAGTGAGTGGTGCTCCCAGGGCTCCCAGAGCCCACACCAGGGTCCACGGGGTCTTAGAAGGCGGTTTCTGGTGATTGAGCTGCTTCTGTAACTTACGAGGGTCACTTCCAACCGGTGAGGGTGAAGTCCTTCTGCATAAGTGGCCGCATGTCCAGTCCTGATTTTCTTGGCAAGTGCCTAAGTGCGGTGGGAGTGCTTCTGAGGAAAGCTGAGGAGGGCCAAGAGAGGTCCTGGAACAGGCCTTGGAGTCCTGGGTTCCAGTTCTGGCTCAGCTGTGTCTACCTGGGGAAGTGTCTTCCTCTCTCTGAGCCTTGGGTTCTTGGCTTGTACATTTTAGATGCCAACTGAGCCTTGGGTTCTTGGCTTGTACATGTTAGATGCAAAAAGCCAAACTCACTGTCTTTGAGTCGATTCCGACTCATACAGCGCCCCCCATTGGATTTCTGAGGTAATAAATCCTTACTGAAGTAGGTCGCAGTCTTCCTTCCACAGAGTGGCTGGCAGGTTCGAACCGCCAACCTTCTGGTTAGCAGTCAGATGTCTTAGGCACTGTGCCACCAGAGCTCCTTACATCTGGGATTGTTGTTATTGTTGTTATGTGCTGTCGAGTCAGACCCAACTCATAGCGACCCCTCCTTGGGTTTCTGAGGTGGTATCACTACAGAAGTAGATTGCCCAACCTTCCTTCCAGGAGTGGCTGGTGGGTTTGAACCACTAGCCTTCTGGTTAGCAGTCAAGTGCCTTAGGCACTACGCTACCAGAGCTCCTTACATCTGGGATAATAGACCCTATTTACCAGGTTGTTGAGGGTTAGATGAGGTGATCTCTGAGGAGCCTAACACAGGGCCTCACCAAACCAAAAGTCACTGCCATCAAGTTGATTCTGACTCATAATGACTCCCTTGGGGTTTCCGAGGTGGTACAGAAGTATATTGCCCAGTCTTCCTTCCGTGGAGTGGCTGGTGGGTTTGAACCGCCAACCTTCTGGTTAGCAGTTAAATGCCTTAGGCATTACGCCACCAGAGCTCCTTAATACCATTTACATGGTAAATGGTATTAAAGACCCTATCCTCTGGGCCAGAGTCTTCTGTGAGCTGAGTCTCTTCTTCCAAGAAGGATTGAGTTTATGGCTCCACTGATGCACCTGGCCCGGCCCCCAGGCAGACAGGCCCTGCCAGGGGTGCCCAGCCCACCCCTGAGTGGGTAGAGTGGGCCAAGGACAGGTGAAGGATCTCGTCACACCCCTGCCCTTGGGAGTCAGCTGGTCCTTGAGGGGTCCCACCAGGTGAGAGGGCCAGCCTCTTCCCCACCAAAGACCCCTTAGGTTATTTTGCCAACACTATTTCTTAAGATTTGAACGGTTTTGTCACAAAGGCATTATTTACTTCTGGTCACCATTTGTGTTCATGGTCAGCGAGTGAGCCAGTCAGATGGCCCATCAGGCAGAGACAGCCTCACGCCACCAATGGGACTTCCACCCTGGGCAGGGTTCCCCGCGGTTGACTCTGCCCCTATCAGGGGATCCTGTATTTTCCCCTGGGCGCTTGGCAGCTGTGGGAAGCACTTGTAGCCTCTCATTGTGACCATCTGGGAGTACCTCCTGTGGGCCCGGCACCTGTTACCTCACCTCATCATCTCAGTCCTGCAAGGTTGGGGTGTCATCCTATTTCATGAGAACCAAGGCTCAAAAGTGGCGCCAAAGCTCCTTGGTAAAGAGTGGCGGCACTGGGACGAGTCCACGTGACTCTGCAGCCCGGTTCTCCTGTGATGCCTCTGCTTGCCAGGTGGGGAGCCGGGACTGGGTGGTAGTCAAGGGCTGCTCCATCTCTGACCCTCTGGGGTTCTGGGGGGATGCGTGAGACAGAAGTGGACCAGGATCCAAATGACAGCCTGACTAGTAAAGACTGCTGGAGTGAGCAGGGAGGTTGGAACAACCAGGGAAGTCTTCCTGGAAGAGGTGAGGACATAGAATCACTGACTCTCAGCATTAGATTGTTGTTGTTGTTATGTGTCATCAAGTCAGCCCCGACACATAGCAACCTTTCCTTGGGTTTCCGAGGCGGTAACACTATGGAAGTAGATTGCCCAACTTTCCTCCTGAGGAGTGGATGGGGTCCCAGAAAGCATCCTGTCCAGTCCTGTCTGGGTCATGGATTACCTCTCCAAGATCCCCCCCAACCAAAGACTTTGCTTGCATGCTGCTGATCACGGGGAGCTCACTACCGCACAAAACCCCTTCTGTCTTTGCAGTCCTAAGCTGCAGCCCGCTTTCTTGTGTCTTTCTTCTCTGTTGTCTGCTTTGCCGTTGGGCAGCAGAACCAGTGTGTCCCTCCACCCTAGCACAGTGGACACCACAGCCCTGAGAGCATGTACTTCCAGGGCCCCAAGGCCCTGAGCTTCCAGCTAATCCACTGGGAGGAGATGGGAAGTCTCTCACCCAGTCATCTTTAATTTTTTTTTTCTTTATCAGACTTCATAACATGCTTTAATTTGCCAAGTTCCTACTTGGACTGTGGCATCCAGAACTGGCCACCACGGGTGTGATCCGCGCACTGCAGAGTCACATCCTTGATTCTGGCCATCATCCCTTTACTGATGCCGCTCTGAGTCACATGTATTTTTTAGTTCCATGTGACAGTGGTTCACACTCAACCTCCTACTGACTACTCAAGTCATGTTTATTTTGCTCTTCAGAGGGGAAAAGAAGAACCCTTTAACTCAGGAGCAGGAGTTTGGATTTCTGTCTCTCCAGCTTCACCTTGTTGAATTCAGCCCTTGGCACCAGCTGACTAGGATCCTTTTCAGTTCTGATCCTGAGAGTGACCCTGGGCCTGGTGCCCAGGCTAGAGCTGAGGGCCGCGCTTGGGGCTGCTGCTGAGGCTTCCGGGGAGCGGGGGAAGGAAGGTCCCCTCCGTCAACAGTCCCCCTCCAGGATGCACCGCGCCTTCTCTTGGTTCTGTAATTTGGCTGAAATCAATGAACTGTGCTTGGAGGGGGAAGGCCTGGCGACACCCCCTAGTGGTGGCTGATTTCCTTTCTAGCTTCCTCTTGGATTTGATTAAGGATCTGGCCCAGCATTCTGCTTGCTTCCTTGCTTGGCAGAATTCGCAGCTGCTTCCCTTGGAAGCCCACCACGTGGCTCCTGTCTCTGGCCCCTCTGTGCCTCTCTTGAACCTGGCTTTGGGGTTGTAACGGCTACTGGTTCCCCCCCACTTGGTGCTCTCTTGCAATTCCGTGTCCCTGCTTGCAGCACTCTCCCGTTCCCACAGGGGCAGCGGGTCTGAAGCAGGTCTCTTCTGGTCCTCACTGGGGTGACCTGTAAGCACAGGCCTCCCATGTTCCAGTGTCTCTAGCTCTGGGAACCTCACTGGCTCTTGTGTTCCCCTTGGCTTTTTCTGCAGCCCAGCCCAGTGTGGGCACTGGCTCCCGACCACCTGGTCGGGCCCACCCTCTGGACCACCTGTCCCTCCACATCTTGTGTAGACCCTCGGGCAGCGGCCCCCATCCCTGCCTTCTCTCTGCCTCCTCTGCAGTGGGCGCACCCCTGCATGAGAGCACTTCCTCCGGCCGGGCACAGGACCCCCCGACTCCCTCTGCTCTGTGCGTGTGTGTCTCTGCGTGTGCGCGTGTGTCTGTATGTCTCTGTGTCTGTGTGTGTCTGTCTCTCACCCCAAAGCTCAGATGGGTGTCCTCAGACTTTCTTCCAGGCTTCCCACTCCTCTCCTCCCAAGAGATGGCCTCTGTGGTGTTTGTCTCTGAGGCCAGTGGACGTGACAGGCCTTGGATTCCTGGCTGGGGGTGTGGGTCTTACCCTGAGGGCCTCGAGGACTGGTCCTTCCACTGAGGGGGTCCTGGCGTGAGAGCTGATGGGAGGGTTTAGGAGGCAAGAGCAGGGCTTGGGGGCTGGTAGCCTAGATTTGGGGCCCCTTTGGGGATGTGGGTATTTTTATTTTTTTAACCTTTCCCTTCACCCAAGTTAAGATGCGTCTGCCCTCTACTTAGTGGTTTACCCTCCCTTCCCCCCCCACCATTGGTAACCATCAAAGAATAGTTCTTTTGTGAGACCGTTCTGTTACCACAATTGTTGTCTCATTTTCTGTGAAACCCTTTCCTTGACGTTGTACACTAGTGGTCTCATGTAATAGTTGTCCTTTTGGGATTGGCTGACTTTACTCAGCATCACTCCTCCAAGTTCATCCGTGTTGTGAAATGTTTTGCAGGTTCCTCGTTGTTTAACGGTGTGTGGTATTCCATTGTGTGTATGGACCATTTGTTGATCCATTCTTCCATCAGTGGGCACTTACATTGTTTCCTTCTTTTTGCTGCCGTGAGTAGTGCTGCCGTGAACGTGGGTGTGCATGTAGAGGGACTGTCCGTGTCACGACTCTTACTTCTTTGGGACATATAGCTACTAGTGGGATTGCTGAGTCAAATAGTCTTTCTGTCTCCAGCTTTTTAAGGAAGTGCCTTACCGTTTTCCACAACGGTTACACCATTTTACAGTCCCACCAATTGTGTGTGAAGGTTCTTCTTGTTGTTGTTATGTGCCATCAAGTCGGACCCGACTCATAGCGACGCCTCCTTGGGTTTCCGAGGCAGTATCACTACGGAAGTAGATTGCCCAACCTTCTTTCTGGAGAGTGGCTGGTGGGTTTGAAGCGCCAGCCTGCTGGTTAACAGTTAAGTGCCTTAGGCACTACGCCACCAGAGCTCCTGTGTGAAGAAGGTTCTAGTCTCTTCAAACCCCTGCCAGGATTTTTTTTTTTTTTTAAACTTTGCTATTAGTGCTGAAGGAGCTCTGGTGGTGTAGTGCCTAAGGCATTGACTGCTAACCAGAAGGCTGGCGGTTCAAATCCACCAGCCACTCCTCGAAAGGGAAGGTTGGGCAATCTTAGTTCCACAGTGATACTGCCTTGGAAACCCAAGGAGGGGTCGTTCTGAGTCGGATCCAACTCGACGGCAGTGAGTTTGGTTTGGTTTTATAAGTGTTGAAATAGCTCTGGTGATGTAGTGGTTAAGACATTTAGCTGCTAACCTGAAAAAGCTGTTCCAGGGAAGAAAGATGGGGCAATCTACTTCTGTAAAGATTTACAACCTTGGTAACTCAATGGGGGTCGCTGTGAGTCAGTAAAGACTCAATGACTGTGGGTTGGGTTTTGTTTGGGTTTATTAGTGCTGGGGTGAGATGGTACTTGTTTTGATTTGCATCTATCTGATGGCTAATGAGGAGCGCTGGTGGTGCAGTGGTTAAGCGCTTGGCTGCTGACCAGGAGGTCACCAGTTCGAATCCACCAACTGCTTCGTGGGGGAAAGATGAAGCAGTCTGCTTCTGTAAAGATTGACAGCTTCGGAATCTGTATGGGACAGTTCCACTCTGGCCTCTAGGAGCGCTGTGTCAGATCAACTCGATGGTAGTGGGTGGGTTGCTGGCTGATCTCTTGTGTTTGTTGTCTGCCTCGATGTCTTTTTGGGTGAAGTGTCTAGTCACCTCTTCTCCCTGTTTTTTAATTGGATTGTCTTTTTGTTGTTAAATTGTTGAAGTGTTCTATAAATTTCAGAGATTAGCCCCTTGTCTGATGGGTCGTTGCCAAGTTCTTTTTTCCCCAGCCTGCAGGTTCTCTTTTGACTTTCGATGAAGTCTTTTGATGCACTAAGTGTCTGGTTTTCAGGAGGTCCCAGTCATCCCATTTGTCTTCTGGGGTTTGTGCAATTTTAGTTGCATTTGACAGATGTGGGGGTTTTTCAGGCCCGAGCGGCTCTCTGTCCCACGTGGCTTTTATCAGATTCTGTTAAACAGCATCGCGTCTCACCCAAAGAGGCAGGAGCAGAGGTGACTTGGGAGATTAGTGAATGTGGCGAGGCCTGGGGCCTGGTCCCAGGCAGGCCTTGCTTTCAAGTCCCTGGGGAGTGCTGGGTGGCCAGAGGTATTCCAAGTCACAGACCTCCCAGGACTGCCGGGAGCCCGGGAGCCCAGGAGCCCAGGAGCCCAGGCTCCGCCCCTCCCAGTTACAGGGCTCCCTGTCACCATCTGCCTGCCCTCTGTCTGGCTGAGGTCACTCCTGGGAGAGCTGGGCACTAAGAACCCACACTGCAGAGGGGAGACAGGCCTAATGATCGGAGGCCGAGTGGGGGAGAGGGTGACTGTGTCTCAGCCGGGCCCCTGACCCTGTCTTCCCCTGCCGGCCTCAGAAAAGCTCCCTCATCAAGCTGGCTAACATCCGGGCAGCAGAAAAGGTGGAGGAGAAGAGCTTTGGCAGCTCGCATGTCATGCAGGTCATCTACACGGACGACGCCGGCCGGCCCCAGACGGCCTACCTGCAGTGCAAGGTGCTGGCTGTGGGCAGGGGCCCAGTGGGGCACCACAGGGCTGGGGTCTGGGGGTCTGCCTGGGTGGGCTGGAAATGAGGAACGAATGTCTCCCATCCGCCATCAGCCACGTTTGGCACAACAGGATGTGTATCTGTGTGTCCATGTCTGTATGTCCTGTGTCTGTCTGTCTTGAGTCTCTGTGCCTGTGTGTGTATCTATGTCTTTGTATGTGTGTGTGCATGTGTGTGTCTCTGTCTGTTTCTTTTGTGTCCATGTGTCTTGGTGTATGTCTGTGTATGTGTCTTGTATTTGTGTCTGTATGTCTGTCTTGTGTCTGTGTGTGTCTGCATCTGTCTGTGTGTGTGGCTGTGTGCCTGGGAGGCCCTGGCCCTTGTCTGATGAGGTCACACCTTGCAGTGTGTGAACGAGCTGAACCAGTGGCTGTCTGCACTGCGGAAAGTGAGCGTCAACAACACTGGCCTGCTGGGCTCCTACCACCCTGGCATCTTCCGCGGGGACAGGTGGAGCTGCTGCCACCAGAGGGACAAGACAGGTGGGGGTGGAGCCTGGCCACAGCAGGCCTCAGGCTCCCTGACGGGGAGATGTGGCCAGTGAGCGCCTCCTGCTGGCCTGGCTGGGAGCCACACGGGGGAAACTAACCTGAACAATGCCAGTCCCTCCAGATGTTGGGGGGAATGAGGTCCATGGACAGCTAGCTTGGGAAAAACCCCAGATGTGTGTGTATGATGCACCATCAGGACATCAAAGGCTCTGAGGAGGCCACAAACTCTTAGAATCAATCCTGTTTCTAACGCTCTTTAAACTCAAACTCATTGGACAGGGACTCTTCTTGCCCAATGAGTTGCAGAACAGTGCTCCAAGGAGCACGCTAGGATGCCCTGCCCGTGAGTGCTGGAGGGAGGCCCTGAGCTTGCCCACTTCCGGTACCAGGAGCTGAGCTGGGCTGGGGAGCGCCCTGAGCCTCAGGCACTGGAGGGGTGGCAGGAAGGAGTGTCTGGAAGAACCTTCTGGACATGGGCTCTGTCTGTGCCGCCCAGTACACCAGCCCCAGCCACAGCTGCTGACTCTGGAAATGTGGACAGAGCAAATGAAGAATGGGTTTTTTTTTAAATTTTTTTATTGTGATGTGGGTGAGTTTACAGAGCAAATTCATTTTCCATACAGCAATTCATGCACATTTTGTCTCTTGACATTGACTGCAACTCAACTCCCTACAATGTAGCCGCTCTCTTCCCACTTCTTCACCATAGTTACACCTCTTCCCTATGTCCTTCCCTCCATGAACTCCCGCCCCCCTGAGCTGTCTCCCTGTGCAAACACAGTAGCCCTTCTATTCTCCCATGACTGATCACTCCAAGGAGTGTATCTGCCTGATGTAAATGTTCAGCCTATATGCCTGTCTTTTATTTGGCTGGAAGCCATAGGAGTGGGTTCAATTCAAGACCTGAAGGATAGCCAGGGGCCATAGTCTCAGGGGTTCCACCAGGTTCCATCAGACCAGCAAACCTGGTCCCTGTTTTTTTTTTTATGATTTTGAGTTTTGTTTCACATTCATTCCATCCAGGATCTCCTACACAGATCCCCCTCCGAGTGGTAGCCAGGCACCATCTAGTTCTGGTCTCAGGGTCATATAGGCTGAGGATTGCATGGTCTGCCAGTCCCTTGGACTAATTGTTTCCATGCATTTATGGTTTTCTTCATTCCTTTTTGCTGTGGACGAGGAGAGACCCATCCTTGTATCTAGATGACCACTTGCAAGCTTTTAAGATCCCAGTTGCTACTCACCAAAGTAGGGTATGGAACAATGTTTTTGTATAGTATGAAGAACAGGGTTTTTAAATTTTAAAAATTGTGTTTGATATTAATTGACTTAGATTTGAGTAGCCTCATAGAAGTAGCCTCAGTAGGTGGCTACCTTACTGGACAGCACAGTTCTAGAACCTTCCAGACTGTCCCCCTTATCTCTAGCTGCTTTGCAGAATGCTTGCTTCCCAGAGTACCTTCAGCACTTGGAGCCCCTGCTCTCCAGGCCAGGCCTCAGCCCCCAAAGCCCCATGGAAGCTGTCAGAACCTGACTCACTTGTTCTAGACCAGCCCTGGATGGGGAGTGTCAGCTGTTGGTGTTGGGGTGCCACCAGGCCACCGATGCTCTTGAAGGGAGTTTGTTCCCTTTCCTTGTGTAGAAAGTTCAGTCCAGCTACGGTGCTTGCCCACAGACAGACCCCCCTCCAGGGCCCTGCAGGGTGGCTCTTTACAAGTGACATTGGGGCTGGCTGTCCTGCCCTGTAGCCTCTGACTGTCACCACTGAAGTGACACTGTTGGTGAAGTGGGGCCTCACCACAGCACTGTGGGCAGGGCCTGTAAGATGGAGGAGACCAGAGCTCAGAGAGGGCAGGTGATTTGGCCAAAGTCATAAGGCCAGTGAGTTGCAAGGCTAGCTCATTCCAAGGTGTAGACTCCCTTATGGCCCACTTGACCATGATCTTCACAGGTAACCTTCCACGTTACCCAGATTTCCAAGGTGCATCTTGCCCAGTTCCCACACTCAGCAGTCATGTATCCCACATCCTGTGGTTCAGGAGTTTCTGCCTGGAACGGTGTTTTGGGGGGCCACAGGCATGCCTGGGCTGGGCTTCCCTAGTTCTGTTCTGCACTGGGGGACCCAGGTCCATCCCTCTTACCCTCTGGGCCTTGGTTTGCCCACCTCTACAACCAGCAAGACGGACTTGAACTCAGCTAGTGCCTGTCCCTCTTCCCTGCCCACAGGCAGGGCCAGCCTGTAACCCTGGCCTCTCTCTGCCCCCAGATCTGGGTTGTGATAAGACTCGGTCACGGGTGACTCTGCAGGAGTGGAATGATCCTCTCGACCATGACCTGGAGGCCCAGCTCACCTACCGGCACCTGCTGGGCGTGGAGGCCACACTTCGGTGAGGAAGCCTTTGCAGATCACGCATGGAGAGCCGTGCGTGCTGGGGGACTGGACTCAGGGCTGCTCTGAGTGGGCACTGAGGTCACTTCCCTTCTAACCAGGCACATCACCCCCTGCTCTTGGCAGCCACATTGGGGAAGGGGCACCCAGATCTCTGCAGATCAGGACGGAAGCGCCAGGGTGGTGGGAGCCCAGGGTCAGGGCCAGGCTGCTTCTTGCCTCCCAATATCAACTTCCCATGGCGCCTTAGGAGCAAGGCCTGGAGGGGTGGTGAATGTCCTCCCTGTTTGTCATTGCCACTTCCAGAATTCATCCCTCCACCCCCTCAAAGACCATTGAGCTCCCACTGTCAGTCTAGAACCTTCTGCTCACCTGTCAACTGCAGCCACCTCCTGTGGTGCCCTGGCTCCCTTTCTTCTGCACTCCTGCTCCCTTGTTGGGTAACCTCATCCTTCACGTAGGTGGTGCATTCACATCCTGTCTTCTCCGAGGACCCTTCTAGAGTCATAGTCGTCTGCCCACCTGCGCCCGTACTCCCATGGCTACACCCTGGAGCGTGTCATTCTTCTTGCTTCACTTCAGTTCACGTCATGTATTGGTTCTTGTTAATTTGCAAACACTGAGCCAGTAGGTATTCTTATCCCCAATTAAGTCAGGAAGTGGCAGAGCCAAGAATCAAACCCGGGCCACCTGGCTCCAGTGCCCATGTCCTAACCACTGCACCCTGCTGCCTTTGGAGTCTCACTGACTCCAGAACCCTCCAGCCACTCTCCTCTCCTTCCCTCTCACTTCCTGTGGTGTCTGATGCTAACAGACCTTCCACCCCACTGAGTCCTCCACCCATTGACCTGTCTGTGGTCCTCTGCTGTATCAGTTTCCTATAGCTGCTGTAACATCACCACAAGCTTGGTGGCTCCAAGCAGCATGCCCACTCATCAGTTGTTGACATGGTTAGGTAGCAAAGATTGGGTCATTTTTCCGCATTATGCAGAAACAAGAGGGTGACCACATCAGATTAGAAAATGGAGAATGACTGTATCTTCACCTAACTTCCAAATTACATCATTACATAACTTCTAAACCACTGAGAATCATGGCCAAACCAGAGTGACATATAACCTTTACCATCACAGCCAGTCTTACTATCTCGTCACACCTCAGCGTTCATACTGCCAGACGTGCGGCGTGAATGCACAAAACAGTTGGATGGGTTTTTACTGTGGTTCTAGGTGCGAAATGTCAGATGACGAGGTAGTCGGTGAGGAGAAGGTGTGCACATTTACTCTCTTACGGTTCTGGGGTTCAGAAGCCTAATTCACGGTGTCAGCAGTGCTGGTTCCTTCCGGGGGTTCTAGGGGAGAGCCCATTTTCTTCTTTTTTCATCTTTGAGAGGCTCCCTGCATTCCTGGGCTTGTGGCCCCTTCCTCCACCTTCACGGTCAGTTCCTCCAGTCTCTGATCCTGTCATTGCACTGCCTCCCTCTTAATAGGACCCTTGTGAGGGCATTTAGGGTCCCCCTGGACAATCCAGGAGTATCTTCCTGTCGCCAGGCCCTTAATCACATCTGCAAAGTCCCTTTTGCCCTAGAAGGTAACAGATTCTGGGGCTTAGGTCGTGAATTTCTTTTTTTTTTTTTTCATATTGTGATTTGGGTGAAGATTTACAGAGCAAATTCACTTTCCATACAGCAGTTCACATACACTTTGTCTCATGTCATTGACCACAGTTTACCACAATGGATCCATACAGCAGTTCACATACACTTTGTCTCATGTCATTGACCACAGTTTACCACAATGCAACAGCTCCTCTCCCACTTCCTCCCCATAGTCACCTCTTCCCAGTGTCCGTCCCTCCATGCACTCCTGCCCCCTGAGCTGTCTCCCTGTGCATAAGCAGCCCTTCCTTCTCCCATGATTGTTCTCTCCAAAGAATGTATCTACTTGAGATAAATGTTCAACTCATATGCCTGTATTTTGTTTGGCTGGAAACCACAGGTGTGGGTTCAATTCCAGACCTGAAGGGCAGCTAGGGGCCATAGTCTCAGTGGTTCCACCAGGCTCTATCGGACCAGCAAACCTGGTCCCCACCGTTTTTTTTCTCCCCTAGGACATGGATTTCTTGGGGGGGCTGATCACGTCGCCCACCATCTGCCCCCACTTCCCCACTTTTACAGTGTAGATCCCAGGACCCGTCTCTGAGGCCTGTGTTGGGTACATCCTCCTCGCCCCCCTGCTGCCTCTCTGTGGTTAAGCCTCATCATCCCTGGGTAACCCAACCCTCCACCCACTTCTTGCCTGCACTCAAGCAGCTCAGTGAGTCTGGAGAAAGAGTTGCTGGCCCCACTTTAAACTTTTTACCCCAGGTCTCAGGCAGTGCTGCTGCTGCTCCTAATCTGTGTCCTCTGTCAGGTTGTCCTGTTGGCTGTCCCACCGCCCCTGATGCTGGTGGCTGTTTCTCAGTTCACCACACAAATGAGCACAGCCAAGATAAGACCCTCGCCTTCCCACGGCCCGACCCGTCCCACCTGCGTCAGGACGTGGATGGTCTGTGGTCTTGTTCCCATGCATGAACTACATCTTCTCCCAAGGCCACATCCCTTCTCCTCGTTCCTTTATGCAGGGACGTTGCTCCTGACGTGGTCGCCTCTCTTGTTCATCATCAGTTTTTTCTTGGTCTCCCCGATCATTCCATCAACACAGAGACCCTCTGCCGTCAGTCCATCTGAAAACATGAAGCCCTCCCTGGACCCACATGCCCCTCAAACCACTGCTCCGTCTCCCTGCTCCCTGGGTTGCAGAACTTTAGAAGGAATTATCTTTACTCTTTGTTCTTTCTCAAACTCAGTCTGGACAGGCTCATGCCCTACCAGTCACCTCCATGTTTCCAGGTCCGATGGGCACATCTTGGCGCTCCCTGCTCTTGGCCCATCACAGTCATGGGCACAGTTGGCATCCCCCACTCTAGACACATGCCCTTGACTTCCAGGACCTGCCACACTCCTGTGGTTTTCTTTCTCTCCTCCTCTTCCTCAGTCTGCCCCATGCCTTTACATATCATCTGTGACCTATGGACTCCGACCTCTCTCCTTCCTGAGCTCCACACCAGTCCAGCCACCTACCTGTCATCTCCGCTTGGATATCCAAACGTTATCTCAAACCTAACTGTAGACAGTAGGGCTCCCCATTTCTCCACTTCCAGGCCCCTTCCTCTCCTAGTCTCCTCTCTGTAAATGGCACCACCGCCTACCTGGGTGCAAAGCTAGGGATCATCCCTGGTTCCCCTCTTTCTCTCACCTGCCACATCCATCCCCTCAGCAAGTTCCCTTGGCTTCACGTTCAGAATAAATCCAGAGCTGACCTCTTCTCCCTCCACTGCTACACCTCCAGTCCAAGCTCTCCCATTTATGGCCAGGACAGTGCAGTAGCCTCCGAATGGGTCTTCCTGCCACCACTCCAGCCTTACCACAGTCCCTAGAGGGACCTGCTAGAATGTGACGCTTGATCACGTCCTCATTCTCCTGCGTGAAACCTCTAACAGTTTCCCATCACAGGCCCTGGCCCCTGGCTGTTCTTCCAGCCTCTTCTCCTGTGGCCTTTGCTTCCTTCCTGTTTCTGGGCCTCACCATGGTTATTTGCACCCCAGGGCCTTTGCACGTGTTGTAGCCTTTACCTGAGTGTTCCTCCCCCAGGTGCTCCCATGGCTCGTTCCCTTACCAGATGCAGGTCTCTGCTCAAATGCCCCCTTGTCTAAGAGGCCTCCCCTGAGCCCCCTGCGAAAGTTACTCCCCCACCCGCACCCGCCATCACTCTTGAATCTCACGAGAGTCTTTCTCTCTGAAGCTGTGTTCTACATGAACTGCCTGCTCATCTGTTGCCTGTCTGTTGACTGTGAGCTCCGTGAGGGCAGGACTCATTCACGGCTCTGACCCCAGGATGGAGAACAGAGCCTGGCACCCTCAGACAATGCTGATTGAACAAATGAGTGGGGGCAGGGAGGGAGCTGGTTCCGAGGTTGACGGGTTCAGGGGGCCCCAGGTCACCAGCCTCCCCATCATTCTTCCCTCACAGGGAGAAACACCAGGAGCTGAGGGGGGCCACAGAGGCGGGCTCTGGCCCAGGTAGGTCTCTCCATCTGGGACTCACGTGGTGCCCTGAGCCCCCTTTGGGGGAGTCGCGGCCAGGATCTGTATCCACGGGGCTCCTCAGGCTGCACCCAGGGCCCTCTTGCCTCTGGGATTGGCGCTGGCTGGTGAGAGGCCCTGCCAGCTCTACCCTTACAGCCTTCTGCTCCCCAGCCCCCAAGGACAGCCTCGCCCAGCTGTTCCAGGTGTTGCAGGACCTCAAGAAGGCCCACAGTGCCATTTCTGCCACCGTCCCACCCTCGGAGCATAGCAGTGTCCTGGAACGGCAGACGTGAGGCCAGCGCACCCTCGCCAAGCCCCTGCCAGGTGCCGGGAGACCCTGTGTGTTCTTGGCCCTTCACCTAAGTCCCCTTCCTGGGATGCTGGGCCTAGGGGTCTCCTGGGTCGGGGGGCAGGGAGGTCCAGAAGTCCAGATTGGGCAAGGCTTTGGCCCATTATCACTGACCTGAAATCTCTTGGGGACTTTGGGGCTCCATGCTCCCGAGAGGCCTGGCTGCTTCCTGTGGCCCTTACACTCCTGCCACTAGCCCAGACTCTCCAGGCATCTCCTCTCCTGGACAGACCAACAGACCACCCTCGGGAATCAGGGCTGAGGGGGCCCAGGTGGGGAGGGAACACACTTCCTCTGTAGCCCACACCCCACTCATGAAATCTAGGCTCCTGGGGCCCAGGACACCCCTCACTCTCGGCGGCCACCCACCACTCTCCTTGCAGCCACTGCCTGTGCCCCTGGGGTGGGGGGAGCACCACAGTGCTCTGTGACGACAATAAATCAGCTGTGACTGCTTGGCTCTGGGTCCTGTAATGGGGTCGGGGAAGAGAGTGGGCCCAGGGGGACCCCAGCAGCTGCTGGCAGGGGTGACCAAGGACTGGGGCCACCATCACAGCCTCTGTGCAGTCCCCATCCCTCTACTTTGCCTCCCTTCCCCCCCCCACCCGAGAGGCCCCTTTTCCTCCCGGCTGCTGTCCCCCCAGATCCCTGCCTTCCTCGCCCTGCCCCACATCCCTCACAGACTCATCCCTTGGATGAGTCTCTCCTCACAGCCCCAAACAGGCCCACCGGCCCCTTCATCCAGGGCAGCCCTGAACACTGCACAGCGGGGCTGGGTTTAGAATTCGAATCCTGAGCCATGGCCTGGCCCTGGCAGCAGCCCCTTCCTCCTCCAGGCACAGAAGCCTGCCATCACCCAGCTCTCCACTAGCTGTGACAGGCCAGCAGGCCAGGCCAAGTGCGCTGCTGTGGCCACAGTGACTTGGCTTTTGGTGTTACTGTTTTGGTTACCTTGTGCTGCTCTGACAGAAATATACCACAAGTGAGATGGCTCGAACAAACAAAGAGTTTATTCTCTTACAGCTTTGGAGGTGTTCTAGTTACTTAGTGCCAGTCTGACAGGAATATACCACAAATGGGATGGCCTTAACAAACAGTTTATTCTTACAATTTGGAGGCTTTAAGTCCAAGTTCAGAGTTCCAAGCTCTAGGGGCTGTGTGGAAACCCCCTGACCATGGGCTTCAGCTCTGCCTCTTGCTCCCAGCCCACTGAACCTAGAGGCATCTCTTCACTTAGACAGCTACTGGCTAACAAGCTCATGGTCGACAAAATCGCACAGTCCTGATGTTACCAAACAACATGGCAGGCTGCGGAACGATACGGCTACATGCAGGGTCCAAGTGTGCCATAAGCTAGAGACTGTTCCTAAGGCTTCTCCTTATCTACGTTAAGCAGACCACATCCCTAAGGCAGCTAGCTACTCAGTTGCTCACAGTAGATTCCACCATGGAGTTGATAACCTGTTTATTCATGGGGAATACTACATCCAGCTGCCAGCCAAGTTGACACACAAACTTTTAACTACCAGTTTGTGTGAGGCTAGAAATCTGAGTTCAAAGTATCAGGCTCTAGGGGCTCGGTGAGAGCCCCTGGACTTTGGACTTCAGGTCTACCTCTTGCTCCCGGCCCACTGAAGCTGGAGGCTGTTCTTCAGTCAGGCAGCTGCTGGCTGCTGAGGCTGACAAGCCCAAGGTCGACAAATAAAACGGCACAGTCCTGATACTACCAAACCACACGGCAGACTACTGATTCAAGTCCTGAAAAAGTCCTAAGATCTGCAGGGCAACACAGCAGGCTGCTGAATATTGACTCGGCTACATGCAGGGTTCAAGTGTGCCATCTGCTGGAGACCTTCCTCAACGTTGCTCCTCCAGTAGGTTCCACTGTGGAGTTGATTACCAGTCTCGCCATGGAGAATACCTACATCCAGCTGCCCAGCCACACTGACATACAATCTTAACTACCACACTGACACAGGGTGGAGAGAAACCCAGAGTCCTCCTCTCCTATAAGGCCTCCAGCCCCTGCCTTGGCCACATAGTTGCCTCCTTGGCTCTCTGATCCCAGGCCCCAAAGGACCACCCTGGCTCCAGCCCACTCCTGGCCCCAGGAGGGTTGTCTGAGCCTTCACCATCGGAGCTCCCAGGCTGGTTCTTTTGGCCAAGCAGGAATCCAGGGGGCTGAGGGCCCTACGCGTGGCGTCCCAGCATCCCAGGAGCCTGGATGCCTTTACGGGGTCAGTTCCTTCTGAGCCCCTACAACTCCACATGGGTGCACTTTGCTGAAGAGGGGACCCGACCTCTGTGGGGCAGTGATGACGACCCCTCCTTGGGTTTCCGAGGCAGTATCACTACGGAAGTAGACTGCCCCATCTTCCTTCCGAGGAGTGGCTGGTGGGTTTGAACCACCAGCCTTCTGGTTAGCAGTCAAGTGCTGTAGGCACTACGCTACCAGAGCTAGGGTGCCTGAATGCCCAGGCTCCAGCCGACCTGCTGGAGGTACCACACACTCCGTCCCCCACTCGGACGCCTCTCGCTGCGTACTCCAAGGATACACTTCCGTGTAGGGATCAAGAAGCAGCGGGGCGGGAAGGGCCACAGCTCGGAGGTTCCAGCTTAGCCTGGACGAGGCTAGCTCTGTTAGAGTGGGTCCCCAGGCGTCTGAGCGTCCCACCACGCCCACTTATGAGCGAACCAAATGGCGTTTACAGGCTCACGCATGCGCAGAGCGACCGGCCGGCTTTCGCCCCTCCCTCTCGTAACTCGCGCGTCGGCGCACGGTCCTCCCGTCCGACTGGGGGCGGTGAGTTGGTTGCACTCACCGAGCGTGTCTGACGCCGCCGACCTAACTTGGAAGCGGAAACTAATCTGGACCGAGTCGCATTATAGGGCTTCGGAGGTGGAGGCGGCTGTGGCCCTAAGATGAACGCCCCTCCTGCCTTCGAGTCGTTCCTGCTCTTCGAGGGCGAGAAGAAGTAAGTGGGGCCTGCGGTGCCGAGCAGGGTCGGGCCAAGCTTCGCGGGGCCCTCGGCTTTCAGGACCCGCGGATTCTGGGGCTTCTCTTTCCAGCCCGTGTAGGAGCCTTAGCGCCTGTGTCTGCCAGACTTGAGGCCGTGGTGAGGCTCGGGTTTGCAGGGGAGGAGACTGAGGCTTAGCGAGTCTGAGTAACTTTCTCCGGACACTGGCGTATTCGAACCCCGAAAGCCGGGCCCCAAAGCCCTGTTCTTCTGGGATCATACCAACTCGTCTTTCCTCCACCGCCTCCATCCTTCTTGCTGCAGCGAGTGCGATGTCTCTGCTGTTCGTGTGACGCCGTCAGTAACTCTCATTGCCTGCAAATGTGTGATTTAACGGTCAGGCAGCGCAGGCTTGGCCGCTGGTCCCCAGTTACCCGTGCCTTTGGACAAGTGGCTTGATTTGCCCGAGGCCCAGGTTTTTAATCTGAAAAATGGGCTTATTGCTGTATTGTAGTATGTTCTCCTAGGGAAGATTAAGTGAACTAATTTAAAGTGTGCAAAATGCCCATTCTGGGCTCACCACATGGAAGTGTCATTAAATATTACCCAGAACCCCCTGGTGTGCAGGACTAGTGGTCTAGCTTTTTGCAGCCTCCCTTTTAAGCAGTAGTTCTCAAATGAGGGCCTGTTCTGGTTCCCTAGTGCCGCTCTGACAAGAATAGACCATAAATGGGATGGCTTGAAGAAACAGTTTATTCTCTTACTGTTTGGAGGCTTTAAGTCCAAGTTCAAAGTGCCAGGCTCTAGGGGCTGGGTGAAAGCCCCTCGACGACCTTGGACTTCAGCTCTGCCTCCTGCTCCTGGCCCACTGATGCTGGAGGCTTTTCCTCACTCAGCTGCTGGCTGCTGAGGCTGGCAAGCTCAAGGTTGACAAGTAAAAAGACACAGTCCCAATGTTACCAAACTACAAGGCAGGCCATTAATTCAAGTCCATAGAAAGTCCCAAGGTTGGGAGAGCATGGCAGGCTGCTGAACAATGACACGGCTACATGCAGGGTCCAAGAGACCATTCCCCAAGTCGTCTTCTATACAGGAAGTAGACCACATCCCAAAGGCAGCTACTCAGCTGCTCACAATAGATTCCACTATGGAGTTGATTACCAGTCTCGTCATGGGGAATACTACATCCAGCTGCCCAGCCACTCCACCCGGCCAAGCCAAGTTGACACACAGACTTAACTACCACGGGGCCATTTTGCTCCCCAAGGGGCATTTGTCAATGCCTAGGAATATTTTTGGCTGTGCCAGGGGAGGTGTAGTGTGCAGAGGCCAGGGATCCTGGTCATGTCTTCCACAAGGAAGAATTACCTGGCCCCCAATCTTGGTCCTGCCAAAGATGAGAAATCCTGCTTCAGAGAAAAGAATCAAAGCAGAGAGGTAGAGGTCAGTGTACAGACAGTGCTGCTCTGAGTCCGAGAGGTCTTTATGGGACCAACAGACCCAGGGAAAGCTTCCAGGAAGAGGGACTTGAGCCTGCCTTCCCGAAGGGCAGGGTTTAACTTGGGGAGCGAGGGGAGAGCCCTGCCCCTCATATGCTGCCTCTGCCTCTTCCCAGGATCACCATTAACAAGGACACCAAGGTGCCCAATGCCTGCTTGTTCACCATAAACAAAGAAGACCACACGCTCGGAAACATCATTAAATCGTAAGTTCCAGGTCGGAGCATCTCAAGGGCTATGTTTCATGGGGCTCTTTATGCAAAGCACAGTTCCATAAGGACATTCTTAAGCTGAGAAGAGGGACAGGAAGTGCCCGGGGTGCTGGCCCGTGGCTTCCCACCGTTCCAGCACCTTTTTCCAGCATCACACTGACCCGTATGTGTTCACAGCCATGTGTCTATATGGACTATCTGACATAAGTGAGTTACTGTGCAGACAGCCACAGCGCTCACCCAGGACAATGGCTCTGTGCTAGTGAGCATCATTAAGCACTCGGGGCTAGGATCCCCCTCACCGTCAGTTGTCGCAGTGATGTCAGTGACCTGTTACACCTGGCATTAGACTGTGTGTGGCAGAGACTGTAGCTTCAGTAGAGGACGGGGAGGGAATGAGGGGGGCGTTTGTGGTTATCTGGTACCGGTACCTGAAACCGGTCACTGCATGTTTGCTTACACCAGTGATGTCCTGGCCAGGCGGTCAGGGATGTGATGGGTGTTTACCATCTTGCGGGGCCCTCTTTAGAGGCATTGCAGGGTCCTGTCTTCCCCTGAGGGAAGAAGTTGCTAAAAGCCTCGTTTTCCCAGCTAGAGTCCTTGATCCTCATGGATGTAGGTTTGTGGGGGTATGGGGGGCCCCTCACATGGTTTATCTTCTTCAAAGCATCTGTTTTACCTACAAATTTTTGGGAAAACTACACATGAAGAGCAGAGGACCCCTGGGGTCAGCCCCCAGAGGCATTGGCTTACAGGCCTCAGCCTAACAGGCTCCTTGCTGGATGGCCAGGGCCCCCAGGGCATTAGGCACAGCCTCTCTCACACCGCCCACCCCTGCATTTCAGGCAGCTGTTGAAGGACCCACAGGTGCTGTTTGCTGGCTACAAGGTCCCCCACCCCCTGGAGCACAAGATCATTATCCGGGTGCAGACCACACCCGACTACAGCCCTCAGGAAGCCTTCACCAATGCCATCACCGACCTCATCAGTGAGCTGTCCCTGCTGGAGGAGCGCTTCCGGGTGAGGGCCCAGGGCCCAGCTGGCAGGGGATGGGGGAGGCTAGAGCCAGCATGCCCGGTGCCACGGTGTTCTCAAGGCCCCTGGAACTGTTGCTCACACCGAGGACGGCCCCTGCGTCATTTCCTCTGCCTGTGTGATGTGAGGAGAGCGGGGCTCCTGGAAGCCTCCAGGAAGCCTGCACTAATGTCTAATGGCCTGCTGCCTGTACCCTCACTGGGGATCTGCCTCCTTGTGCACACTTGGGGCTCCTGTGGCAGGAAGCCACCTGCCACCCTGTGGAGGTGCTCTTCCAAGGCTCCTCGGTGGTCTATAAAGCCTGTCTAGGCTGCAGCTCATCCTGGGGTGGGATCCTAGGGCTCAGGAGGCCACATGGGTAGTGGCCACACCTGTTCATGGCAGAGGGCCTCAGTCTGTGCACAGCTGAGAGGGGGAAAGGTCCATAGCTAGTCAGATTTTCAAAGTCAAAGTCAAAAGCTTGCCTAGGATAGCCTCTGCTCCACCTGACTGACCCCAGGCAGCCGGACATAGGATGGGCGGGACCTTTGGTTCCTGGCTGCCCGGCCCCCAGTGCTGTTTGGGGTCCATTTGCTGACCTGGTGCAGTTCTCTGCTGTGCAGTGTGGCCTGGTGGTTACACTGTGCAGTGTGGCCCGGTGGTTACACTGTGCAGAGCGGGTGCTGGGTTTCATTTCCAGGCTCACCCCCAGCCATTCTGCTAAGTGCATTGCCTTCTTCCTCTCCCCCAGGTGGCCATCAAAGACAAGCAGGAAGGAATCGAGTAGTGGCCTGGAAGGAGCCCTGCTCAGCCTGGGGGCCCAGCGCCTCCCCTCCGCTGGACACGTCTCTCCCGGTGCCAGGCTGAGCAGAGGCTTCGCTCAGCTGTGGGGCCCCCCCTTGTAGATATCCCATGAGCCCTGACCCGTAACCCTTATGTCTCCTGTATATATAGGTTCTCCTGGTATTCCCAGTAAAGTATGGCAGACAGAGACCTGGCTGTGGGCTGCTGCTGGCTGGGCCGCACTGAAGTGAAGGTGGCTTCACAAGCGGACGGTCTTGGGCTCATAGCACAATCTGTGTCAGAGCCACTAAGGGGTGGGTGGAGGTCACCTGCACGACTTGTTACAAAGACACTGAGGGGGCCATACTTCAAAGGTTTCTATCTGAGATGTTGGCATAAACAGAGTCACTCTGGACCCAAAATGGAGTACCTGGAGGGCTGCTGGGGAGTGGCAGCCTTGCAGAAGGGGACAGACACCTGGTACTTCCTGAGCGGCTCTCTAGCACCTCCACTCCCAGGAATACGCGGTGGGGCCCACGAAACCGTAAACAGCATGCCACAAGCCTCTCTTTAACAGTATAGAGTTTAATAAAAAATGTTTACTGGCAAAAACACCCTTATTGTTAGCCCAAAGGCTGCACCAGCATGTCCCTGGTACTCTGAGGGGCAGAGCCCCTCCCTGGCCTGCTGGCAGCTACAGCCTCCTCCAGATGGCCACGATGTTGGAGTCGGTCAGCGCGGTGAGGTAGGTAAAGGTGGGGTTGGCCACCACCGTGTTCACCATGGTCTTGGTCACCGCCTGGCCGAGAGCCCAGGGCTGGGGCCACTTGAGGATCTGGTGGCAAGAGGCAGAGAGGGGCTGGGCACTGGCTCCCCAGCGGCCAGGCCCCCATTGCCGCGCCAGCCCCAAGCACAGGTGGGGCAGTGAGCTGTGCAGTACCTGCGTGGGGGCCTGAGGGGCTGCTGGCAGTGGAGGGTGCTGGTCGAGCAAGTGCTGGACGTCGTAGACCCACACGCTGCCCTCCTCGTCCCCACAGAGCACGATTCCCTCACCTGCCGGGACGGGGAGGTTGATGGCCAAGGTGGGACTTGGGGGGGGGGGGTCAGAGCGCCAGGAGGTGGAAGGTGGGGCAGGTGGCTTACCAGGACAAGTGCTGAGCGAGAAATAGGCCAACTCGGTGGGTGACCACTGCAGCTGAGCCAGGACAACCACAGCCACCGTGGCCTGGCTGCCCCGGCCTGCCCACGTCTGGCTCCAGCTCCACAGGCAGATGGTACCCAGGCCGCTCCCCTTGGAGGCTGTGGGGAGAACCGAGACCTGCGTCTGGGCTGGTCCCACACCAGACACTTGCTGTTCACACGGGGGGCTCCCCAGCAGCCCCTGACCCACACCCCAGCCCAGGGAGAGGTGACCCACCGAGGGTCCAGGAGGCTGAGCTTACCCACAACATCGTCGTTCACGAAGGCCAGTCCATCCACTCTCCGTGCAGATGCCTCCGAGGCCTCGGGGAAGGTGAACTCCACCTCACACACCCTGTGGGGAGCAGAACAGGCTGGGTCAGCAACCACTAGCTTTCCATCTGTTCCGGCACCTGCTCTGGGCCATGCCCGGTGTGGAGGCCAGATGCAACCAAGAAGGGAAGTTCTTGGCCCCGGAGGGGGAGCTGGTCCCCAGGTGTGCTTCAGTGTCACAGGGGAGCAGGTCAAAGTGCAGGGCTGCTGCTTCCAGGGTGGGGCAGGTGGTCAGGAGGGTTCTGGAGAGGAAGCGCCTCTGGGCCTGAGAGAGACGTGAGCTGAGCTCACTTCCACACAGAGTGCTGGGGCTGGAGACCGCGGTGCCTAAGGGGGGCGCTTGCTCTGACGGTGGGGAGTGGCTGCTCGAGGTTTTTAAATCAGGAAGCGTGATCACATCGGAACTTGGAAAGGCCACCAGCAACCGCCCAGAGTCCTGGAGAGGCCAGTGAGGCAGCAGCTGTGGGCTGGGCCTGCACCATGGCACCGGAGGCAGGAGAAGCGCATGCATCTGAGATGGTGAGAAACACCACAGGACCTGGGGGACGGGGGAGGGAGGGGGCGAGGTGGACCCAGGGTAGCCCCTAGGGGTGATACAGGGCTGTCGTATGAGTGAAGGGAAGCCACCGCTGACACTAGGCAGGTCACCTGAAAGGGTCTCGTCTCAGGCCTCCGCTCCCCTCGTGTAGGAGCTACTTCTCTCCTGCCACCTGCCCTACAATCCGCCCTGGGCTCTCCTACACTAAAAATAAAATTCTAACTTCTGACCAGCCAACAACACCCACCGGGCCCCGGCCCCAGGCACCCTGCCCACCTCTCCTTGGGCACATCTGCTGGGCTTTGTGAAACTGTGGTCAAACCTCCCGGGTCAGCCTAGCTCTCCCTACCCCCTGCCCAGTGCACGCACTTCCCTGCTCCGCCTGGTCTCCCTGTGGGAGAGCAGGAGCCCAAGCACCACCTGGTCTGCCTGCAGTTCCCTCCCAGAGTCCCCGTGGGTCCCCATCTAGAGCTGGCTGCCCCTCACTCAGCACCGCCTGCTCTGCCCTCAGCTCCCCTCACCGAGTCCTGGTGGGCCCCCACCTACAATGGGCCACCCCTCAGAGCACTGCCTGGTCTGCCCTCAGCACCCCTCACTGAGTCCCTGTGGGTCCCCACCTAGAGCAGGTCACCCCTCACTCAGAGCACCGCCTGCTCTGCCCTCAGCTCCCCTCACCGAGTCCCTGTGGGTCCCCACCTTGAGCAGGTCACCCCCCCACTCAGAGCACCGCCTGCTCTGTCCTCGTCGCACCGTGCAGTCTTATCATCTGCCGCCTTTGTCCGATGCCTATCTCTGGACGAGGCTGTGGGCCCCACACAGGCAGGGATCCTGTGCCAAGCACCCTATCAGGGCCTCCCAGGTGGTGCACTGCAGGCACTTCCAGAGCCTCGCGTATCCAGACCCTACTGCACTCGACCTCGTCCCCACTTTACAAATAAAGCCAGGAGGGGAACACTTACTGCCGGTGAGTGGCCTGGCCGATCCCTGTCATGGTGCAGTGAAGCCCCAAGTTAAAGGTGACGCGATCACAGCCCAGAAAGGGGACTGAGGCAGCCCCGCCCCACTGCTGAACCCCGGGCTGAGCAGGGGGCCCCAGACCCTTTCCTCCGCGTGGGAAGAGACCAGCCCTGCGGGGCTGGGTAATTTGGGCTCTGCCCCGACTTGACTGACAGCACCCAGCTCTGAGGCTTGGCTTCCCGAGCTGCCCTGCCCGCCTCACCTCCGCCTCTGGGACTGGTCCAGCCGAACGTCCCAGCAGCAGCAACCACCCTCGCAGCCGGCCAGCAGGTAGGTATCCGGGCAGGAGGCCACAGGGCAGAGCCGCAGGGGGATGGAGGTGGTGTCGAGCATGAGCAGCTGGCTGCCAGGTAGGAGAGGAAAGCCGGGGCCCCTGAGCCCTCTGTCTCCCCGACCCCAGCAGCAGGCCCGCCCCAGCCCTGCCCCAGCGCACTACCTGGCCCGGAATTCATAATCGTGGTTGGGTGTCCCGATGTCCCACAGGATGATACGCTTGTCATAGGAGCCCGCTGAGGAGGGAATGGGGAAGGGGATAGGTGGCCCTGAGGAGACCTTGCTTCTGCCTGCAGGCTGTGTCCCGGGCTGAGACAGCGGTCTGAGGCAGAGAGGGTCATGATTCGGACACGAGACAGACTCAGGGCCTCTTGATCTAACCCGACACGCTGCACCAGGCAGCCTTCTCTCACCAGGCAGGCCTCTGCTCACCACACTGGAGGGCCACAGGTGTCAACCCACGATAGACGAGAACCAAGTATGTGGTCAAAAAACTCCACAGCCACAGAACAGGCTGGGAGTCAAGCCGGGACCTGGAGCCCAGCTCATCTACCAAACCAGAGCCAAACCCAGCCAACCCAGTGGGAGCCCCTACCCTCCCAGGGAGTCCGGGCACAGCACAGTGGTGCCGGGGGAGCATGGGGGCTGAGAGGAGGGGGTCTTACTGAAGAGATGGGTCTCGTGGGTGGGGCTGAAGCAGAGGGTGGCAATGGCCTTCTTGTGGGCCCGGACGACTCCGCAGGAGAAGCCAGCACGCACGTGCAGCAGCCGTACCAGGCCCCGCAGGCCGGCAGCCGCCAGCACGTTCCAGCGCTTCTTGTGGCCTGCCTGTGTGACTACCGTCACGGCTGTCCAGGCCACTGAGAAGAATTCCTGGGGGGCAGGGAAGGAGCGGACACTGAAGGTGTCAAGCTACCTTTTCGGACACGTATGCTGGCTCAAGCCTGGGGACCAAGGCCCAGCATGAAAGACCAAGGCTGCGAGGTGAGGAGGCCTCTGACTCTGCCCCCGAGCCTGGCACTCTGCCCGCCACCCAGCAGGACAGGGCCCCGGCACTCACCTCACCAGGCACCTTGTACTTGTGCAGCACGATGCCCGTCTGGCAGTCAATCACACAGACAGCCTCCCCACCGCAAGTGGCCACGGTCTGGGACGTGGTTCCTGAGTGCCCTGTTTGGAGGGGTCAGCCTAGTGAAAAACATTTTTGTTAAAGTGCCCCCTGTCCCTCCTTGGCCGTGGTCTCCTGACTCCCCAGTTCACTAAGGCTGCCCTTTCAGGGAGTACCCACATACCCCCCTTTTGTTTTTTAAATTTTTATTGTGATTTGGGTGAAAACTGACAGAGTGAATTCGTTTTCCATACAGCAGTTCACACATTTTGTTTCATGACATTGACTGCAACTCTCTACAATGTAACAGCTCTCTTCCCACTTCCTCCCTGTAGGTACTCTTCCCTGTATCCTTCCCTCCCATGCACTCCCGCTCCCTGAGCTGTGCCCTGTGCAAACACTGCCCTTGTGTTCTCCCATGATCCCCACACGCCTTTATGCTGAAGGCCGTCTGCTCGTTTCCCATAGCCTGCCCAGCAAGCACGTACCCTCCTCCCAGGCCGGCTCAAAGGCGCACGCCCACAGCTGGGTCTCCAGGTCCCGGGGGCTGTTGTTCTTGCTGTGACACTGCAGGAAATGCAGGGGCTCCAGCTGCAGGCTGGGCTGTGGGGACAGAGGAGTCACAGCTGGCCTAGGCCGGGCTCCTCTGCACCTCCTCCCGGCCACCTTGCTAGCCTACCTGGCTGCCATCAGAGCCCATGGGCCTGCCTTCCACCTGGGCTGGTGGGGAGGTGCACACCCGCTTGTTGGGAGAGAGGCTGAGTGGGTCATCACCGGGCCGCTTCAAGGCTGCCAGCCCGGCCTGTGGAGGGCGTGAGGGCGGGCTGAAATCCTTGCAGCCATTGGCCCATCCGTCTGGGGCTTCCTTCCTCCCCATCGCGGGCTGGACCACATCCTCCTGGCACCCATGTTTATCCCCAGGACTCCCCGCTCCCCTGTGGCTTCGCTAGGCAGGCAGGGTGGTGGCAGCAGGTACATGGAGCACTGGGGAGCTGCAAAGAGACATCCTCACCCTGGGCTCGGGGGTGGCTTTGGCTTCCACAGTCCTCTTTGGGTTGTCTGCCTCAGGCACCTGGGTCCTACCAGAGGCTACCAGCTCCTCGGAGATCATCCGCACCTGGGTGGGGCCAGGCACTCTGGAAGCTGGGCATAGTCTTGAGTGCCCCCAGCCCCTCCCCAGATGTCTGGTCAGGGGGTGCATGTGCTTCTGGAGTTGGGAAAGGGCCTTTCCAGGCACGGGGGCTGCCTTCCCTGACCCCTCGCCCCCCACAGCCCCACCCCTCACAGACCCGAGAGCTCCGGGACAGCTGGGGGCCACCTGAACCAGGAGGGAAGTGGCAGAACTAGTTCCCTGAACCACAGGGTGAGGACGTACCCGCCACTGGGTGAACTCGCTGAGGGACTCAGGCCCGTAACGAACTTCCCTGACAGCAGATTTCACAAAGTCCGCCTGAATCTTCTCAGCCTCCTCCTCGGGGCCCAGGGTGGCCATGAACTTCTGCCAGTAAGCAGTGACCTGGTACAAGAGGGGCTGGATCCAGGCCGAGTCCACCCCAGCTCTCCTGGCCTCCCTGAGGCACCACGGCCCCCAAACTCATCATAGCCAGAAACGGCTCAACCTTCTCATCTCCCAGAAGCCTCTGCACAAACCAGCAATACGCATACATCCAAAAGGGCCCCAGCAGGGGAAGAACTGACTCAAGTCAAGCATGGCAAGACACCGAAAATCACCCGGCCTCTCCTGCCTGCAAACCCAGAAGGCAGGGCCTCCAAGGGCAATGGCCCAAGCACCAGATCTCAGAGGAGGCAGCACCTTGTTCAGACTAGGCTGGTGCTGCATGTGAGGCTAAGCAACTTAAGGGCAGAGCCCCTCAATGTCCTCCGAACGTCTGACCGCACTCGGTCCTCGAGGCCTCCCTCTGCTTCCTCTTACCCTGCTGGTCAGCTCCCGGTTCAGGTTCTCCACCTGAGAGGAAGTCGAAGATGCCTCCTTGCCATTGACCTTACGGAGCTTGGGCAGAAGAAAGGAGACTTTCAGATTGTCGCTGACCTGGGAGATGAGGGAACCATGGCTCAGAGGCTGCCCGTCGGAGCTCAACTGACTGGTGGCCCGTGCACTGGGCCAGGGGTGGTGACCACTCACCGTCAGGAAGGGGTTGCCTTCCAAACTAAGCTCCTCCAGCTGTGGGAACTGGCACAAGAAAGTGACATCCCCCAGCTGGTTGTTAGCACAGCGGAGGACACGCAGGTGCGTCAGGCCCAGGTTGGCGGGCAGCGTGTCCAGCTGGTTGTTGGACAGGTCCAGCTCTTGCAGCTGAGTTAGGCGGCACAGGAGCTTGGGGTCCAAGTGTTCAGAGCGCAGCTTCAGGCCTGACAGGCTGAGGTTGAGGGGGGAAGGGAGGCAGATGTGGAGGGTTCAGGGACCAAGCAGCTCTCACCCCACGCCCCCGGCTGCCCTGCCAGCCTCAGGTTTTCTCTCTTCACATTTCTGGGGCATTCACAGCCTCCCCGTCTCCTTTTATTTACTTGCAATCTTGCAATACTTCAGGGCTCAGCTGAGCGTGGCCCCCTCCAGGATGTTTTCCCCGAACTTTTGGGGGCTCCTCTGTGCACCTCACGCCCTCTCTAACTATCTCAACACTGCCTCTCTACCACTCTGTCTCCCTAGCAGCCCGGGCACTCCACTCTTCAGCAGTAAGGCCACTGGGGACCCAACCCGCACACTGGTCGAACAGCAGTCCGGTCCATCTCATAACTAGAGGAAGGCGCTTGGCGAGGGGGCGATTGCGAACCGAGGGGGCTGGGCAGAGGGTGCAGGAGGGCCCCAATCTATCTTCCCGACCCCCGGGGACCCAGGACCGGGCAGCCCAGACAAGCCCTGGTGGCGGGCTATGTGACCCTGGACATGCGGACATAGCTTTGCACCTATCCCAGCCCTTACTCTAGGCTCCGGATCTTCCCAAGCCGGTCACACTTGGGCCGGCCCCGCTGCATCAGCAACCGCGACGAGAGGGGGACCATGGCGAGAAGGCGTGGCCGGTACTGGCCTGAACGGCTGCCCGAGCGTTCTAGGAGCCTGGTACTGGCGCATGGGGGTGCCGAGCACAGAAAGCGGAGTCTCGAGAGCCTGTCTGGAGCGAAGACCGGAAGGAAGCAGGTCCGCGGACTAAGCGCCCCGCGGCAAGGACTACAATTCCCAGAAATCCACGCGGTCCCGCGCCTGCGCCTTGGCTGCCCGGTAGGGGCTATGGCGGCGGTGACAGTGGCAGAGGCACCCGAGGTCCTTCAGGAATGCGGCTGCAAGGGCATCCGGACTTGTCTGATCTGCGAGCGACAGCGCAGTGGTGACCCGTCCTGGCAGGTTCCCCCGCAGGTAAGGGCTGGAGGGGGGACCGCGCCCACAAACTTCTTATGGGGGAACTCAGGCCCAGATGGACCACGAGACGGGCCAGGATCAAACTGTGTCAGGAACCCGGGGTTGTTGCGGGGTGAGGAGGTGAGGTCTTTGAGGAGTGGTCTTGGGTGTAGAGAAAGGGCTTCTCGTCGTGGGGTGTCACCCAATCGCAGTTCAGTTCCGAGACAGGAAGAGTGTTGTTGTCGTCACGTGCCATCGAGTCGGGCTCACAGCGACCCCTCCTTGGGTTTCCCAGGCGGTAGCTCTGGTAGCATAGTGGCTAAGGCACTTGACTGCTAACCAGAAGGCGGGCGGTTCAAACCCACCAGCCACTCCTCGGAAGGAAGATAGGGCAATCTACTTCCGTAGTGATACCGCCTCGGAAACTCAAGGAGGGCTCTCTACGAGTCGGGTCCGACTCCACCGCACATAACAACAACAACAACATCACTACGGAAGTAGACTGCCCAACCTTCCTTCCGAGGAGTGGCTGGTAGCTGGTGGGTTTGAACCGCCAGCCTTCTGGTTAGCAGTCAAGTGCCTTAGGCACTAGGCTACCAGAGCTCCTCCGGGAATAGTAGAGGGTGGGGATGCCACGGAGCAGGCTGGATGTGGTTAGGTGGGAATCTCAGGACGCTCCTGGGGTAGTCTGGGAGGTGTGGCACTAAGGGGTGGAAGCCGGGAAGCCAGCACTATCCCAGCTTGGATGGCTGTGGGAGTTGGTGAGTGAGATGGCCAGTGTGGGGCTGGGAGACAGGGGATGGCGGCCCAAAGCGCGGGAGGCAGCTTCAGGAGGGGGCGTGGGGTGAGAGAAGAATGGAGGGCCAGCAGTGGGGCCCTGGGGGTGGGAGCCACAAGAGGAGAGCCCACTAAAGGCTCTGATGGGCTCTGTAGTCCTGGCTGGGTGAGCGCTGGCCTGAGCCTCACACAGAGGAGGCATTATAGTCTCTGCCTCCTGGGGCTGGCCTGAGGATTAAGCTGGTAATACATATAATCTGCCACATATTAGCTACTTTATGAACTAACTCTTTAATTAAGAAAGCTGGAAGAGAAATATGTATTGGAAGCCAAGGGAGAGGTTTAGAAGCAGTACTGAGTTGTGTGGCGAGTGGTCAGGGCTGACTGGATGGGACAACATATGTAACAGATGATGGAGTGGGGACCCCTGGGGGAGATGCTGGGGGCATGTGGGCTGGGGATGAGGAATGAGGTGGTGGGGGAAACAGAGGCTGCAAATGCAGGAATCGTGAGGGTGGGACAGGAAGGGAGGAGGCGGGGCTGTAGCCTGGAAGGAGACAAGGTAGGGATGTTGTTGACTTCTGAGGATGAGGCCTGAGTGCGTTCAGCGGCCGTGGGGGAGAAGAAGGACCAGGAGATGGAAGAAGGTTAATGAGGGACAGCTAAGGAAGTGAAGAGCCGAGAGATCAGGGCTGCCCCTGGGAAGGAGTTGGATTTGAATAAGAGGAAAAAAAGGAGTGAGGCTGAGAAGTCTGGGAGAGGCAGGAAGGGTGGTGATGAGGAGCCCACGTTGAAGGTCTGCTTAGTGGAGCACGGGCAGCAAAGACCAGGGGAAGCTGGTTATCGTGGGGTGGGAAATGGACTGAACAAAGAGGCAGACCTGCTTCTCCAGCTGGTGGTCCTCTTGGCTGGGGTGGGCACGGTGGGGCATGATCCTAAGCCACTTGAGCAATGAATCTCACTGCGGAGGGAGGCAAACCTATACCTGGGTGAGACCCCAGGAAAGCTGCACCATGGCTTGGAAGTGGGGGAAAAGTCTTCTTGGACAGAAGGGCCCTCAAACTGGCCCTCCCGGAGGTGACAGGCATGAGCAGCCCATGAGGAACCGAGGTGGAGCCAGGAAGGCCCAGAAGAGATCACGGGTGCACAGCTACAGGGGAGAGGTGTCAGCAACTGCGTCCTTTGGATCTCCTGGAAGCAGATGCTGAGACGGAGGTAGGAGTAGAAGAGACTTGCGGGGCAGGGGTCATGCCACGAGACCTAGACAGGCAGGAAACAGGACTGAATGGGCAGAGAGCACTTCTGGCCACCATGCAGATCTAACGGTCTTGTCCAAGGCAACCAGGGGCTCTGGGCAGACTGCCATCAGAGGAGCCTCACTGTGGGCACAAAGGGCCAAGCCTAGAGTTAGCGTTGCTGGGCCTGCCCTGGAAAAGCTTGCCCTCGGCTTAGAATCTGAGGTGGGCCTTGAAGGCCTTGCAGCATGAGGTTGTCTGCTCACTGCACACCTCGCAGATGAAGAGAGGAGGGCGGGACCCTGAGAGCCCCTGCTTCTGCTGAAAGACTTCTCCCCTGTGGCCTCACAGCACGTGCTGCTCCCTCTGCGTGGCCGGGTCCTCAGGGTTGGGTTTCACATACTCCTTGAGCCCCTGGTCTGGGCCAGATGCTTTCACACAGGTCCTCTCCCCCACCCATGACGGGAGGACGGGAGATGCCCTGTAGTGACACGGGGACACTCGTAGGCTGCTCCCTGGCTGTGCAGCACCGGGCCAGTTTCTGACTTGGCTGAGCCTCATCAGCCTGTCTGTGAAGCAGAGGGAACTGCCTTGGCTATGAGGCTGCGCTTCCCTTTTACAGAGGAAGAAAGTGAGCAGTGGCCCAGTTGAGTGCCTCTCTCGTGCTGCCCTGGGCCTTCCCACACGGCCTCAGGGCAGAGGCACGGCAGCTCTGAATCTGATGCCAGAGAGAGAAGCTTGGAGGGCAGAGATGGGCGTCACCAGACTTCACCAGGCTTAAAGGCAGGTGGCGTAGTACCTAAGGCATTTGACTGCTAACCAGAAGGGTGGCAGTTCAAACCCACCAGTTGCTCCAGTTGCTCTGTGGAAGGAAGATGGGGCAGTCTGCTTCCATGATGATTTACCGCCTCGGAAACTCAGTAGGGGTCACTATGACTCGGAATGAACTCGGTGGCAGTGAATTCAAGGCAGGGAAGAATGGACCACTGGAGACCCCTCAAAGGCAGCTGGCCACGGGGCAGGGGCTGCTCCCGGGGGGTAAGCTTTGATGGCTTTGGCTCCCCCGTCTTTCTTCTGCAGAAACGGGACCGTTTCATGTACTGCGCCCACACTGGCTGGGCTGTGGGCGCCGAGGAGTCTGACTTCGAAGGCTGGGCCTTCCCCTTCCCAGGAGTGACGCTGATAGAGGACTTTGTGACGCGGGAGGAGGAAGCTGAGCTGGTGCGCCTGATGGACCGGGACCCCTGGAAGCTCTCGCAGTCTGGTCGGAGGAAGCAGGTGCGTCAGCCAGAACTCAGGCGGGGGCCCCGACGGTCAGAGAGGACCCTGGAGACTGACTCCTCCTCGACTCGGAGACCCTGTGCTCACCTTCCTCCGCCTCTCTGAGTGGGTCTCTCGGGTCCTCCATCAACACCCCCAGGGTCGTTAGTGGGCAGGCTTCCCCTGGCCTGGGACTGAGGGTGAGGGGTGGCTGAGGGATGTGTGGAAGAGAGGGGCAACTGAGTCAGTTCACTTCCCAACAAGACAGCACTGTGGCCTGTGCTCCAAGGCAGACGTGGCTGCTTCTCCCCGTTCCCCTCTTCTGAGCTAGCTCGAGGTGGTGACAGTCAGGAGGGATTCACCTCCCTGGCCTCCCTTCACGTCTGAAGTTCTCTCTCCATTGGCTCGTGTCCTGCTCGTCTGGCCTCGAGGTCCTGGGCTTCCCCTTTGCCGTGACCATCCCTCCTCCCTTGGTTCACTCCTCTCCAACTCACTCCTTGGCACCTTGCAACCTTCGACCCCAGCGGCACCTGCAGCCCATCCATCCTGCCCTTCCCTTCCCTCACCCCTCTCGTCTTCCTTCACCCAGCTTCAACGCCCTGACCCTTACTACAGTCACTGCCCACTCACCCTTCGCCCCTCACTTCATTGTGCTGCTTTTGCTGACCCACAGCCTGGTGACGCCCGCCTGCCCACCCTGTACCTGCTCCTGCACGCAGACCTGGTCGGGAAGCGGTGTGGCACATAGCCTGTGACAGGCCCCCTCCAACAAGGGTCGCCCTCCCTGCTCTCAGCCTGGGTCTCCGGGGTCACTCACCCCGCTTCTCTCCTCTCGGGCCTCCTTTCCTATCCCTCACCCTCCTCACCATCAGTTCTGGTTCCCTAGTGCTGCTCTGACCAGAATAGACCACACACGGGAGGCCTTAACAAACAGGAGTTTATGGTTACAATTTGGAGGCTTTAAGTCCAGGTTCAAAGTGCCAGGCTCTAAGGGCTGGGTGAAAGCCCCTCAACCTTGGGGTCCAGGTCAGCCTCCTGTTCCCAGCCCACTGGAGCTAGAGATGTTTCTTCACTCAGACAGCTGCTGGCTGCTGAGGCTGAGAAGCCCCAAGGTTGACAAATCAAAAGGCACAGTCCTGATGTTACCCAACCACACGGCAGGCCATTAACTCAAGTCCATTGTAAGTCCCAAGGTCGGCAGAGCATAGCAGGCTGCTGAGCAACAACACGGCTACATGCAGGGTCCAAGCGTGCCATAGGCTAGAGACCATTCCCAAAGCTTCTCCTTCTATACAGGAAGCAGACCACATACCCAAAGGCAGCTACCCAGCTGCTCGTGGTAGATCCACCAAGGAGTTGATTGCCAGTCTCCTCATGGGGAATAACTACCACCAGCCGCCCAGCCACTCAACCAGGCCCAGCCAAGTTGACACACAAACATAACCACCACACCATCTGCGGACGACCTTGCCTCACTGAGCAGAAAGAACCGCGTCCCACGCCACCTGCATCTGTGCACAGATGGCCACCATCTCTCCTGCTGCTGAGGCCTCTCTCCGGGGCTGCCTGCCGTCACCTGTGCTCTCCTCAACGCTGTTTCCCCCCCTCCTGCAGGGTTAGCTTTGTGCACGGCTTCCCTGCCTGGCCTCCGTGACCTGCGCCCGACCCTCCCAGGCTCTATCCCGTGTGGTCAGAGCAGGGCTTCCATGTAGTTGGTCACAACTTCCTCTTCCAAACACATTCTTTGCTCAACCGGCCTCTCCTCTCGGGCCGCTGCTTCCTCCTCTGCAGGCCTCCTCGGGTGGCGTGTCCTCAGGCTCAGTCCTGGGGCCTCTTCTCTTCCCTCTCGGCTCCCTCCCTTGGTGAGCTCCATGAGGCCTGCTCCTAAACACCCTGCCCCTGAACACTGTCTGTGTTTAGAAGCTCTTAGCATCAGCCCCTAAAATGGGCTTGGCCCTCCCCTCACCCCCACAGTGGGCCCCCGTTCAGCAAATGCCCTCACCTGCTCAGCCCAGAAAGCTGGCATCTTCCCCAGTCTCCCGCTCTTTCTGTATTTCCAAACCAAACAAAAACCAAACCCACTGCCATCAACTTGATTCCAACTCATAGCAACCCCCACTGGGTTTCTGAGACAATAAATCTTTATGGAAGTAGATTGCCCTGTCTTCCTTCTATGGTATGGCTGGTGGGTTTGAACTGCCAACCTTCTGGTTAGCAGTCACATGCCTTAGGTACTGTCAGCTCTCCCTTCAGAGCTAACCCTGAGCACGTCACCCTCTCCCCTACTGCTGCTTTCTGCAGCGCTGCCCGGGGTGGCCTGCAGGCGCCAACTCGCTCCAGCACCCTGGGGCAGGCGAAACCTGCAAGTACGCAGACGTCAGCACCAGGTCGACCAGACGTCAGCCTCATGGGGGTGGATACTGGCTCCCTTCTCGCCAATTCTCAGCCACAGTTCTGAAAAGCATCCTACAAGGCTTCTTCTTAAGCTTTTATTTTATCCTTCGATGTAGTTCCCACACCATAAAACTTCCCCTTTTCAACCATGTGCCTGAGTGGCTTTTAGTACACTTGCGAGGTTGTGCACCAGCCATTAATGCCTAGCTCCAGAACACGCCATCACTGCAGACGGGAACTCGGCATCCAGTAGCAGCCATTCCCCATTCTCCTGTCCCCTCTCCAGCCCATGGCAACCACTAACCTACTTCCTGTTTTCTATGGATATACCTAGTTGGGACATGGCGTGTACTATGAATGGAATCATACAACATGTGGTCCTTGGGTCTGCCTTCTTGCACTTAGCATGATGTTTTCAGGGTGCCTTCCTGTTGGAGCATGTGTCTGAACTCCATTCCTTTTGATGGCTTTATAACATTCTGTTGCTGCAGGTGCCCCACTGGGTCCAGTCACCTGTTGATGGCCATGCAGGCTGTCGTGAGCAGTGCTCCTGTGAACATGTGCATGACGTTGTGTGCACATGCACTTCAGTGCTCTGGAGCCTGTACCCGTGACTGGAATCCCTGGCTCCTGTGTTCTCCCTGATGGTTGTGAACCTCAGTTGACCCCAGGCTGACCTGCTTCCTGATACAGCCCTGGACTGGCCTTCTCTCCCTCCCTGATCACCTACCCACACCCTCACTGTTTGGGATCACATCCCAGAACACGCTACCTGGACACAGGCCCTTTGTCTCTAGCCCTGCTAGACCTAGGCTAAGACAGCCCTCCCAGCACCTTATGCCCCCTCCTGCTTGGTTCTTCCCTTGGCGTTTACTGCCAACTAACGTTTGCTCTGTTATTTAGTATTTAGATCTTCTCAGTGGCCCGCCTCCCCGCTGGAATGTCAGGACTGTGAAGTCACGTTTCCGCCCAGCTCATTCACTGAGACTGACGTCTTTGGATCAGTCTTCAGACCCAGCCTGTGGCTGACACCATGATAAACGCAACCACTTCTCACCACCTTTTTGTTCTCATCCTTCAGGACTACGGCCCTAAGGTCAACTTTCGGAAACGGAAGCTGAGGGTGGCTGGCTTCAGAGGCCTGCCCAGCTTTAGCTGGGAGGTGGTACGGAGAATGGCCCTCTACCCCGGCCTGGAGGACTTCCGGCCCGTCGAGCAGTGTAACCTGGACTACCGCCCTGAGTGGGGCTCGGCCATCGACCCTCACCTGGATGACTCCTGGCTGTGGGGGGAGCGGCTGGTGAGCCTCAGCCTGCTCTCCTCCACGGTGCTGTCCATGGGCCACGAGGCGCCCGGCAGCCTCCTGCTCTGCCCGGCGCCTCCTGGCTCCCTGGAGCCCTTGGTGGAAGGTGTGCTGGCCTTCAGCAGGTCCATCCTGTGCCAGGACGTGGAGGTGGCCATCCCCTTGCCCCGCCGGTCGCTGCTGGTGCTCTCGGGCGCGGCACGGCACCAGTGGCAGCATGCCATCCACCGGAGACACATCACCGCCCGCCGCGTCGGCGCCACCTTCCGGGAGCTGTCAGCCGAGTTCTGCTCCGGAGGGAAGCAGCAGGCCCTGGGGCAGCAGCTCCTGCAGCTCGCCCTCTCCTTCCAGGGAAGACCTGTATGAGCCGCCTCGCGGACGGAGCCAGCGTGGGGCCTGCCAGGCCGACCGACCTCTCACCAGGGTTAAAGGGGGGGCCCCCCCGGCAAAGGCTTGTTTCCAGCTCATCAGGGAATCAGCTTGACCTCTGACACCACACAGGTGTTGACAAGAACTCACCTCAGGTCTGTCCCCGTCGGCCTGTGCTGTGGTCACTTGTGTTCTGGTTGTCATAGTTTTCAGAGAGTGGGGTTAACTTGAGCTTAAATAATTTTGGTACCATTTAAAGCTCTTTTCTCCTTGATCGGTTTCTTTAATGAGGTTCCCCAGCGTTCCCTTCGTTTGGAGAGCGTGCTGCATTGAGGACAGGAACTGGGGGACACCTGGAAGTTCCCGTTCTTTCAGGCTTCTGAGTGTTGGGGAAGCTTTTGAGTCACGTGCAGCCTGTGGCACGGTCGTGACCCCACGGGGGTGTGATGAGGGCAGGGAAACCCAGAGCCCGTTCATCCCTCCTGCAAAGAATACCGTTAAAAAGTTCAAAAGAAAATAAAACTCCTCCCCTGCCAGGATGCTGCAAGGTTGTGTGCTTTCTTGGTGCTGTGGGGCGTGCTCACTTGGACAGGCTGGCTGCCCTGGTGCACCTGTGACCAGGTGAGGAGCAGGCCACGAGGTCAGGGTGCGGCCAGCCCTCGACCTGTGTGGCCAGCTCTCCCTCAGCAGCCAGGACTCCAAACAAAACACAGTCGCTCCCCGCCCTTGTGCTGGGAGCCAAACTCAGCGGGAGCCGGCCCGTCAAAGCCAAGTCCAGGTCGTGGCTGGGTCTGGTTCTTCCAGACACACTCAGCCCACCCGGGAGTTGCTGTCAGCTAGGAGGAGCTGCCGGCCGGCCGTGGGCTGTCTGCTAAGAAGCCACCCAGCTGCTGAGCCACCTGTGGGTCTGCAGGACACGGGGAGAGAGCGGAGAAGCTCTCAGGTTTCAAGTGTCTGCCAGAGGCCCAGCTGCCTGGTGGGTGGGGTGGGAAGTGAGCTCCCAGACGAGCGTGACAAGAATCTGGCCTCTTGCCAGGTGTCTCTGGGCTCAGTGGGCATCCAGGGCAGGCCGTCCCTGCTGCATCTGAGCAGCAGAGGGGCTGGTGGTCTACTCCAGAGGGGCCGGTGGGTGTCTGCCCCCCCACAGGCTGGACCTTACTTAGTGCAACCCTGTCCCTGGGTGGAGCCCGCAAGGAGCCGCCACCAAGGGGCTCCACAGGAAGGGCATTTGGGAGAACCCGCCTCCCTGAACCCCCCCACCCCCCCCCGAGAGGCACGTTAAGGCTCGGGGAACACACTTGGCGAAGAAACCTGCTGTAGCCAGTGCACCGGGGTAACCCGGGGCTTGCTGGACATTTGGGCAGGTGGCCCCCTCTCCAGTCCCGCAGAACACACTAGGAAGTAGTCCAGTGCTGGAGCCAAGTCGGTGACGCCAGCAGTCGTGTTAGTCCTTGAAGCCACCGTATGAAGACTGTCAGCCTGGATGTGACCTGCTGTCTCCGCAGTGATTCCTCCCCGCGCGAGGGCATTCACAGAGCTCCTAGGGCAGGGCTTTGAGATGGCAGGCTGCCATGCTGCACCCACACCCAGCTTCCGGGTGTCAGGGTCCCAGCATCAGCATGCGGGGGTAGCTGGCGTCTGTTAATCCTGCATCTCGGACAGCCCTTCATGCATTCGTGCAGAACCAGACGTATTGTGTGCAGGCTAGTGTGTTGGTTCTAACCCTCCTGCAGTCTCAAACTGAGGAGGTACAGCCCCGGGACGGCACGCTCACCGGGCGCTGTCTGGCCTGAGGCAGCTTCCTGCAGCACCCGATTCCACAGAAGTCAAGGGGTGGCGCCGCTGAAGGTCCTCAGCCCGCCCTGCTTTGGGAAGACATCAGGGAAGTTGGTGCCATTCTGAGAGGCGGGCAGTGAGGTCTGGGTCGGCCATGACTAAGGGCAAGGGCTGCTGAGTTCAGTCCACGGATATTCTCAAGTCATTCCTGCCTGGAGTTGGGTACCATGCCCCAGAGCAACTTGTGGGAGGCCTAGCAGACAGCTGGGGCTGGAGAGGGGGGTTAGCAGGTTCTGAATGGGCTGGAAGGCATCTCTGGGCCCACACGGGGGACCACCTAGGACCCTTCCACTCAACCACCAGGGCCTCCAGGTTGAGAGGTGAGTCTGCTGGGAGGCTTCCGGCGGAAATGGTCCGGAGCCACCAGCCACGACTCTCGCCCTGCCAGTGCGTGGGTGCCTGTGCCCCGTGTGTGCACCTGTGTGTTCGCATGTTTGTGTGGGTTTGTGCCTGTCTGTTGGGGAAGGGGCTGTCGGTGTCTTTTTTTTTTTAATCCCATTTTTCCCTTAAGGAAACCTCAGCCCCCATTCTGAGTGTTGTCTTGCTAGTGGCCTTGAAAACCGGGCAACGGGCTTGCTGGTACGAGGCGCTGTTCCGACCCCAGACCTCTCGGGCCACCCACAGCCTGGGAAGGCCTTTTTCTGGGCTGAAGGGCAGTCTGGCCCCTCAGGACGGGCAGAGTGCAGGCACTGCCGGCAGCTTTGCCCCCGATTCCCAGGAGCCTCAGGGGAAGTGTCAGGAAGTTAAAATATCAAGGATGACATGCTCCTCTGAGAAGGTGGCCTGTGCCCCGCTGGCTGTGGGAAGGGTGTGCTGCCCGAGGGGACAGCCAGCACTGGCCCTACAGCCACAGGAACCTGCTGTTGGAGGAGGCACCGCAGGACCTACCCCTCGGTGGCTCCTCTCATGGGGACTGTGGGGACTTGCACCCCGACCCTGTCCGGATGGGCTCTGGTTGGCTCAGTGGCACACATGGGTTGCCCCTCCATTTCCGGGAAGGGAGAGCCCGGCCTGGGAAGGAGAGCAGCAGGCAGAGGTGCTCACTGCTGACCCACCCTCTCCCCTCCATGGAGGGAGCCTGCAGCGTAGCCGTCCGAGTGCCTGCCTCTCCAGCCCCCACTGGCCTGGGCGGCCTGTTAGGGCACTGCGGCTGGTGACCAGCCAGCCATTAGGACAAGGTGGTGGGGGCTTCCGAAGTGCCTGCCCCTTCCAGGATGCAGGGCCAGCTGTGCAGGGAAGGACACTCCACGGAGAGCAGAGGGAGCCGTAATCGCTTCGGTTTATTTGGTTCAATCCAGGACAATGTTTTTAAAATCTATACATGAGACAGGTTATGTACACCATTCATGATCTGCATGGTACCCAGGCATGTAGAACTGATTGGCATGGCCAGGAACCCTCTGCACGTGACCCTTGATCCACTGGGGTTTGGGTGGCTTTGGCCTCAACAGACACACCTTCCTAGAAGCCGCTAAAAATACATTCTGCTGTCGCTGTTCCTAAAATAGACACTGGGTTCTGGGACTTCTGGGCAGGTGCTAAGTGGGGAGCGTGTTCTATCCTGGAAAGAACCTGGGGAGCTTGTCTGATGAGCACCTGGCTGGCTCTTCTCAAAGGAAAACAGACAAGCCCCAGTGGTGTCAGCGCAGCCACCCGTCTCACCCGGGCAGAGGCCGCTGTGCTCAACACCCTTCCGAGTCAGGCGAACCCTCCGGCAGCCAGAGGTCTAGCCTGCACCTCGCTCTTCCCCGCCTTCCCCGCCTGCCCCCTTGTTGCTGCAGCAGCCCTCATGGAGCGCTGGAGCCCACCCCAGGTTGCCTCTCCTGCCTGCTGCTCCCTGTCCCCTTGGCTGTCTCTGTTCCCACTGAAAGTCTGTCTTCCCTGTGCCTCAGAGCTAGGAGATGGGAGCCAGCCGAGTCCTGTGGCTGAAGGCAAGAAATTACAGGAATGCTGTTCTTCCCATCAGAGGGCGAAGATGACATGGTACGTGGTGTCCTCCCCGCCCGGGTGGCCTTCTCTGACCCTGATGCCGACAGGCCGCTGACCAGGTGTGACGACCTTCCTTCCTGTGCGGGAGAGCCCATACCCAGCAAAGCAGCCACCTTGGCCCTGAGGGCCTGCCTTCCCGGCGGGTCTGCTGTGTCACTGAAGCCTTTTTGTAAAACAAACACGTATTGAACCCGACGAGTCGCACCAGGGCTTCTGGAAAGGGCAGGCATGCAGGCAGATGTCTGCAAAGGATGTGCACGCCCTGGAGACGACGTTTCCCGACTGGATGTGACGCACAGGCCTCTCCACAGGTGTCAGGATGCGGGCTGAGCGCAGCACATCTCCCCCGAGGGCCTCGGCATTGCGGTCACAGGTTAGGGTTTGTATCATAGCCCCAGAAGCCCCAACCAGGCCAGCCAGGCCTTCAAGGCACTGACAGCCCAGACCCTACAGAGATGGTGAGCTGTCAGTAGAAATGAGACCACAGAACAGAGCTGTCTGACACCCACTTATACAAACAGAAGAGGCGTCCCTCTGCAGGCAATCATTGGAAAAAGTGGTAAACGTGGTTCTTAAAAGCCGTGTGGGGACAGCAGCGCCCACACATGCTGGTGCTGCAGTGTGTCCGCAGCCACCAGGAACAGGGCTCAAGCTAACCAGACACTCTTGGTGACCCCACTGGACCCCACCCTGAGCACAGCTGTGTAAACATGAGAGGCCTGGAGGCCCATGAATGGGGATACCGTGTGGGGCCCCACCCTCCCTGCAGAGGGGCTCAGGGTCATTACAAGGAGGACTTACACCAGGGCTGGTCCCTGGTTCCACCACCCACAGGCCAGGCAAACAGGAAGCCCCCAGACTGCCTCACTCTCCTGGGACGGAGCAGTAGGGAACAGACAGGCCTCCTGCTCCTGGCCTCCTGCTAGCACAGAAGGGAGGGACACGGAGGGCTGGCTGACACAGCTCAGAGGTCATTCTGTGGCCTGAAGGTGGAGGCCATCAGACTCGGGGCTTGTCTGCCAGCCTGGTGGCCTCATGCGTCAGTGTAGCCAGGGTCCCAGGCTGGCTGGGAAGAGAGATTTCCAGCCTGGTGGGCTTCAGCGCGCCTCGGTGAGCTCCGTCACTTTAGACCCGTGTCGTGTGGGATGCCCGCCACCCGCACCCCCCACCCTGGCCCGGCCTTCACCCTGAGAGCTTTCCCCAGGGTGGAGTCTCACTCCCTGTTATACTACACCATGGGCCGCTGAGGCGGTAGGTGCCTGGGCTGGGAAGGGGCACCAGGCCAGGCCACCCCACCATCCCAGCCCTAGTCTATCACAGTCGTGTGACAGGGTCAGACATGCTACCCAGCAGGGCCCGAATCTTACAGGGCACCCTGCCAGGCTCGCTGCCCGCTCTGGCTGCAGGTCTCCGAGATCACCCTGCACCACTGGCTCAGAGCCCTTCCTGGGATGGAGCCGACGGGCTGTGCCCTCAAGCATCTTCAGCCTGCCGCCAACACTCGTTCCAACAGCTCACCCCGAGCCCACTCAGCTGCCCTTCTCTTCCCCACAGCCCCGGGGCCGTGCTTCTGACCCCGGAAAGGCTCAGCCTTTCTTTGACTCCTTTGCTCTTAGCAACCGAGTCTCTTGACTGAGCGAGGAATTCCATTTTTGGAGGGAAACTGTCCTGAGTGCCATAGCATTAGGACAGGAGTAAAACTTTGGTTTTGAACTATCTGGCAGTGTCTACGCGGCCTCGGCGACACTGGGCCTTTTCGAGATTCCCCCAGACGCAGGCGCCCGGCTCTGCTGCCCACTGGCTCCCCCTGCAGGCGCCCGGCGTCCTTACACCACCTGCAGGCTTCGCTCGTGCCCATCCAGCTGCACCTTGAGCTTGTGCAGCTCCTCGATCTCCCGGTTGTGGCGCTCGGTTTTGTGCCGCACCAGCGAGCGGTAGAAGTGGATGGTGAAGACCACGAAGATGAGGCCCACGGGCACCATGATGATGGTGGACACCAGGGCGGCCTGCCAGCCCGTGTGGCCGCCTGGGCTGGCCGGGGGGCCGGGCGGGGGCCGCGCGTCCACGGGCAGGAACTTGATCCAGCACAGCAGGACCACCTCGGCCAGGAAGAGCAGGATGCCCAGCACGGTGGAGAAGCCCCAGGCCAGCTCGATGTAGGGGTGCATGCGCTCGTGGGGCGACTCGCTGATGGAGTTGAGGTTGTGGATGTTGCTCACCGCCTCCACGTTGGGCAGGATGCACGTGCTGATGAGCAGGGCGAACAGGTGCACGGCCACCAGCACCGTGGTGCAGGCGCTGAAGGCAATGAGCAGCGGCCGCGGGTACTGGTACTGCGTCTCCAGCTGCACCTCCACCATGGCCACCTGGAAGGCACAGCCACGCCGTCAGCGGGGGGACAGGTCAACGCGTGGCACGTCCATGGGGGTACGACCCAGCCACCCAAAGGAACAAATCCTGACACATGCTACGACACGGACGGACCGCTGAAACGTCACGCTGCGTGAAGGAAGCGAGACCTATGACCTGTGTCTTGGAAGTATCTACAACAGGTGAATGCAGAGACGGAGAGAGGATGAGCGGTCGCCAGGGGCAGGGGCTGGGGGAGTGGCTGCATCACGGGGACAGAGGTTCTGTTTGGGAGGCTACATGGGGGTGATGACCACACAATGAATTAACACCACTGGGCTATACCTGGGAACTCTGGTGGCATAGTGCCTAAGGCATCCGACTGCTAACCAGAAGGCTGGTGGTTCAAACCCACCAGCCACTTCCCGGAAGGAAGGTTGGGCAATCTACTTCTGTAGTGATATCGCCTCAGAAACCCAAGAAGGGTTGCTATGAGTCGGGGCGGGCTTGACAGCAGCAGGGCTATATACCTAAACATGGGTGAAACGGCAAGATTCATGTTGTATACGTTTCACCACAATTAAAATAAAGAAAAAAGAGGCAGAGTTGAGTGCTGCTGGGTGGGGTCAGTGGGCAGGGCAGGGACTCACCCAGTGCTGGGCCTCGGTGACCAGAGGGCCCTCTGCTCGCTGTTTACTCATCTTTAATCTTCCTTGTTTTGGGTTAGCTAAAGAAGAGCCAAGGCCCTCTGGTGGCACAGTGGTTAAGGCATTCAGCCATTAACCAAAAGGTCAAGGGTTCGAATCTACCAGCTGCTCGGAGGGAGGAGGATGAGGCAGTCAGCTTCTGAAAAGATTTACAGCCTTGGAAACTCTACGGGACAGTTCCACTCTGCCCTACAGGGGCGCTGTGAGTCCGCACCCACAGGACAGTGGGTTTGGTTTGAGCCTTGCCTGGGTAAAGATTTACGGCCTTGGAAACGCTATGGGGCAGTTCCACTCTGTCCTCTAGGGGCGCTGTGAGTCGGAATCGATTTTTAAAGAGCTCATTGAAGAAAAGTTTAAAAAGAAAGAAATAAGAAGCTTGGGGAAAAAGAATTGTCCTCTGTTGCCTTCCTGAAACAGAACGTGGGGCGTACACGGGGGTGGCCCCCTACACTGGGGTGTTCTGCTCGGATTTCGACCCCAGCAGCTATCTGATGGGTTCAAGAAAGTCATGATTTTGCATTCTGTGTGCCTTTACCATTATTAGTTCTAAACCAAGAGGAACAGCTCCTGTTCTTGTAAGAAGTAAAAACCGACCCCTCAAAAGGGAAAAACAAGCTCCTCATGCACCCCCCCTTGGAGCCGCACATGGGCTGGGCGGGACGGGGCAGGACAGGGCGGTGTGAGACGGTCTCACACCCACCACGCTGTGCTCTCAGCTGAGCCCAGAGCCAAAGGGCGAGCTCTCATCTCTGGAGCCATGAACATGGCCGAAGTGGGGGTCACCGGCAGGAGGGGCATTGTGGGAAGGGGGCGGGGCTGGAAGGCGTGCACTCCGTCAGCAGCCAGCCACCGGATGCCGGCAGATAGTGTCTAAAATTGGGGTGAGTGGCGGGGCAGAGGGCTGAGCCTGGAATTTAAAATCAGAGCAAATGCCAGAAGAAACAACGGAAAGAGTTCCACACAGCTGTCGGGGAGGGCGGCTGGGAAGCTGGGGGCTGCTGCGAAGCTGGGGGCTGCTGCTTTGTTAAACGAGCTCTGGTTGCGCAGCGATTAAGACATTCAGCTGCTAACCAAATGGTCAGTGGCTCGAATCCACCAGCCGCTCTGTGGGAGAAGGAGAAGGAGAAGGACTGCCACTTCCGGAAAGATCTGCAGCCTAGGGAACCCTATGGTGCAGTCCTACTTTGTCCGCTAGGGGCGCTGTGGGTCAGCATTGACTCCATGGCAATGGGTTTGATTTTGGTTTTCGATTGTTACAAGCTTTTTAGTGGGACTTAATTATTTTTAAATGAAGGGGGAAAACCCACAAAGGGATCTGGAGGCCGTCTGTGGTAGCCAGGCCAGGTCCTGCTCACTACACACCCCAAGGGGCTTTCACAGCGTGCTCAGCACTCAAGACCGTGTCTACCAGTTCCCTTAATAACTCTCCCTGCCCTGTTCCCCAGCACTGAGGACTGCGTGGTGGAGGGTTTAGTACCCAGCAAGGATTCTGGGCCTCATGCCACAAAGATGCAGCAAGAGCCTTCTCCCTGACACCCAAAGGTGAGAAACTAGATGATCCAAGGAGGCAAGAAGGGGGGTGAGATGCGGAAAGAGCAAAGCCAGAGGAAGGCTTTTCTACCCACCGGGTGCATCCTAGATCTGAACAACCTTGTGAAATGAAACATCTGGTAAATAAAAAGAAGATAAAGCAGGTAGCATAGTGGCTAAGGCACTTGACTGCTAACCAGAAGGCTGGCGGTTCAAACCCACCTGCCACTCCTCGAAAGGAGGATGGGGCAATCTACTTCCGTAGTGATACTGCCTCGGAAACCCAAGGAGGGGTCACTATGAGTTGGGTGTGACTCGACGGCACATAACGACAACAACAACAACAGTGGACCACAGGGAGCTCTGGTGGCACAGTCCCTAAGGCATCTGACTGCTAACCAGAAGGCTGGCAGTTCAAACCCACCAGCCACTCATCGGAAGGAGGGTTGGGCAATCTACTTCCGTAGAGATACCGCCTCGGAAACCTAAGGAGGTGTGGCTGTGAGTCGAATTGACTCGACGGCAGTGAGTTTGGTTTTCCGCATGGACCACAAGCTGAACAGCATCCGCAGTGTTCACTGCTGGGCCATTCTGAAAAGTATCCAAAAAGACAGAAACCGGGGGCTAAGGGGTGGTCCCTTCTCAGTGCCTTGTGGCCTGGGGCTCTTGTCACCACAGAGTGCCAACTATAATTACGAAAGAATGCTGCAAAGGGAAGAGGGTTCTGAGATAAGAGACAGAGATGATGAAAGGCCAGGCTGCTGCCCATCAGGAAAGCGGTTCCGTTCCACCTCACAGGGAGAAAGGGCCAAAATGAAATGTTTATGCCGAGCTTTTATGAGGGGGTCTCAGATCACTGGTTCTCTGTGTGAGGGCAAAGATACACATGAAGAAGTGAGCTTCCCGTTAGGCAAAATGGAACAGCCTTACAATTCTAGTCAGAGGGCACCCTCCCCATGACTCCCTGGGCCAGAAGGGAACTGTGTGCTCCACAGGGCTTTCAATGGCTGGGTTTTGGGAAACAGATCGCCAGGCCTTGCTTCCAGGGCACCTGGGTAAACTCGAACCCCCAACCTTTCAGTTAGCGGCCGAATGCATTCACCACCCAGGGACCCAACAATTCAATTCCAGCAAAGGGCTCGTTTCATTTGTCCATATTCCCCGCCAGTCCCTGCCCTCCTCAGCGGTGGCTTAGAGTTCAGGTGCGTCTGTCACTTACGTCCCCGGGGCGCTCCACTGCTGAACTCATTTCCGTCTGCCTGACTAGCAGGGAGTTCACTAATCCAGCTGGGTGGCCCACGGCTGCCCTCTCTGCCCTGCTGACCGTGCTGGGTGCTGGGGGAGCTCACAGCGCATGTCAGCGGGCGGCCTTCCCGAGAGGGCACTCAGGCAGGGGTGCAGGCAGGCAGGAATTGTGACTAGCAAGTGTGACATTGCCACGCCAAGGACAGACAACACGGGGGACCTGCCTGGTCCAGTCATCAGATTCTCACTCAAAGACCACTTCCAACACCCCCCACCCCCAAGCTCCTGCTGAGTCTCAGAATCTCTTCTCCAGAAGTTCTGCCTCTCTCACTTGATAGACAGGGCTTGTTTTTACATTTTAATTAGTGACTGTGAGGCCCTCACCTTGGTGAGCATCCTGTTGGCTACAGAAAACAATGATCCTAAGTTTGGAAATGCAAATATTTGGAAGAAAGCGTCTTCAAAAGACAGCTGCAGACAGGAAGAGACCTCCAGACCCGGGCCCCACACAGGAAGTGAACCTTACTGCATTATATAAGGCAATGCTTCTCAGGGTTAAAAGAAAAAAAAGGCCAGAAGAACTTAATGCAATATTGTGATTCTTCTGATGGGTACAAAGTAAGCTCTGATCTTAATTGTGACATCTAAGCTTCTCACACATGTTCCTTAAAATTAAGCTAATTAAAGCTAATTAATTAATTAATTACTCTGTCTCTTTAATGGGATGGAAACCATGGGAAAAAAGCACTACAAGCCTTAGTTAGCACAACGATTGTGCGTTCCTGTGATTATGTTAAAAAAGACAAAACCATAAACCCTCGTGACCTCAGTAAGCCTAGCTTCAGACTACAGACATAAACACACATGACTGTCCTTCCGTGATGGCCTCAGCCTCACCCAGCATGTCAGTCACTCCCTCCCTGACTCCCGGGTCTCATTCTTCCCAAGGGTGGCCCACTCAGAAGACAGCTCACGGGGGCAGCCACCGTGGCTCAATGCACAACTTTCGACCTTCTGTGCTACCAATGTGACAACTGAGGTCTTGGGCTGAATAAAAACAATTGTTTTTACATAAGGAAAAAAAAAATCCCTGCCAGTCCAACAGGACCTGTGAGCGTATGACAGAGACGCAGGGGTGGCCCCAGTGATATGAACCAGCCGTGTACATTCTCAGTCTGAATCCTGACAGCCTCACCCACCCGGGCGGTTGCCAGGAGGGCTGAGGGACTGGGGGCTTTGGAATCAGCAGGAGGTCTCCATGGTTCTCTGCCCAAGGCTGACTCTTGTCCTCGGGGATGACGCAGAGGGCAAGTCCCAGCTGGCAGTGGGCGTCAGGCCCGAGGCTCTGCTTCGTCACCCAGAGGCCACATTCGGGGAGTGTGTGCGTCCCCAACTGTCAGGCTAAACTAAACACTGCAGTCACTCCCACAGTTCTTGCTCAAATTCCTCATCTCCAGATTCCTGGGTGTTGCCCAAGATGGAGCAGCCATGGGTACCTTTCTCCAGGAAACTCTGTACTGGACACTGGAGACACTTAATTAATCCCCACACCAACATTCCTAAAGGAACCCCAGTGGTGCCGTGGTTGGCTGCTGACCAAAAGATCGGGGGTTCTAACACAGCAACTCCATGGGAGATAGCTGACACAGTCTGCACCCATACACATTAGAGCCTTATAAACCCTATGGGGCAGTTCTATTCTTTCCTATAGGGTCGCTAGGAGCTCTGGTAGCGGTAGCATAGTGGCTAAGGCACTTGACTGCTAACCAGAAGGCTGGCGGCTCAAACCCACCAGCCACTCCTCGGAAGGAAGGTGGGGCAATCTACTTCCGTAGTGACACTGCCTCAGAAACCCAAGGAGGAGTTGCTATGAGTTGGAGCCAACTCAACGGCACATAACAACAGGGTCGCTAGAGTCTTCTGAGGCTTTCTGAGGGCGCTGGGGCATGGGGACAACCCTGGATCCCCCAGCAACCCTGTATGTTGAAAGAGCAGGTCTCTCGGAGGAGCTGGGATGTGGGGGGCATTCCTAATGGTCCATCTCGGCTGTGAGGGAGCCCAGAGGGAACGCCGTGCTCCCTGAAGCCAGAGTCCTGAGCAGCAGAGGCCTGTTTGGCTGCCCGCGTTTCCCACTGTCCGCGCGACGGTACTCACCATGGCGAAACCCGAGAGCAGGGCGGACGTCCGGCTGGAGGCCTTCAGTTTGGCCCTGCTCAGGTAGAGCTTCCTCCAGGAGAGGGCCTGCACTGAGTGGTGGTTGGAGGTGACCAGTTCCAGGTAGCTGCGACGGACCCAGTCCCGGTAATCCATGCCCTTGTGGCCGGGCTCAGAGCAGGCGGGCGTGGAGGGGGCCACAGGCACATTGAGCTCGGCACTCATGGTGGGAGCCAGGCTTGGGGCAGTAGAGAGGTGCCCTCGGGCATCCTAGAGCGCTCCCGTGGCCTGGAAAAGCCGGAAGCCAAGCCCATTTAACCTTCTGGGGGCAGGGGGCTGGACCTGTCCATCCCCTGCCAGAGAGAGCCATGGCATCCAAAGGCATGAGGATGGGGCCCTGGTCCCGGTGACAGGCCCCAAACCAGAATGTGGGGACCATGTGGAGGGGAGGCAGGTCAGCATGCATCTCTAGAGATCCCCGCAACATTCAAAGGTGCTCCCTCTGCAATGTTAGTCCCACCCTCAAAAAGACTCCAAATCAGGTGTGGTGGCCCCAGGGCCACTGGGTGGAAGGAGTTCAAAGGCTGGCCCAGGGTGCCCCACAAATCCCACAGTTGTTTCTGCCCTCAAGGAACAAGAAGCTGTAGCGTTTAGAGAAAGGCTTGCACCCACAATGACAAAACCTGGACTTGACTTGTTAAATCAAATCTCTAACTGTCCCTAGGGGATCCTGAGCGTGACACCTGCTCCTTCCAACCTTGTCTTCATCATCTCCCAGTAGGGACACTGCCACCCTACCGGACTCTTGTGCAGCTTGGACAAGTGAACACACCAAAGACCCAAGACAGCTTTTCAATATCCAGGTGACGACGAAGAAATAAACACCTCCAAGTAGCTGCGGTAGCATAGTGCCTAAGGCACCTGACTGCTTACCAGAAGGCTGGCAGTTCAAACCCACCAGCCACTCCTCGGAAGGAAGGTTGGGCAATCCTGCTTCCGTAGTGATACTGCCTCGGAAACCCAAGGAGGGGTCACTATGAGTCGGGGCCGACTCGACGGCAAACAACAACAACAGTAGCTGCTAGTTCCTCAGATCCAAGTTCAATTTTAATCAGTACATCTACCTTCACAAATACTTGGTTATATAACTGAAGAAAAGCCACATTCAGGCTGTAACGGAGACTGTGAGCAAAATGACAATCGGTCCCCCCGCTGAGATGAGGACGTGCCACGGGGACATGAACACAGGAGCCCCGAGTCCCCCACGCACACATCTGGCTTGCCAATAACGTGGGCTGAAGAGCAGAGAGGTGGTGATTTGTGACTTTAAGCCCAAACCTCTACTGATTGAAACAGGCGACTGGCGGCCTCATGCAGCCCACAGACTGGCCTGGGCGGCGACAGGCCGGGATCCCGCTCCAATTAATCTGCAGAGCGCGCTTCAAGGACACGGACACCTTGCAGCTCACTTGGCATCGGCTATTAGCTTTTGTATTCAAGCTCGCACAGGCCCGTGGAAAGCAGACTTAAGGCTGTTACAAGCAGATCAGTGTTGCTGGGTCCCAGGAAGCAGGGCGGGCAGTGAGTGGGCTGGCGAGGAAACGTCCCCAAGGCCCCCCACTTGATCTGTAAATGCTAAGCCCTGAGAGGGCCCTGGAGGTGGGGAAAGGGCCCTCTTTTGGGGCGCTTTTCCCTTTGTTCTGTTCCCAGGCTGCAAAGGCACGGTTCTGCGCCCTTCTTGTCCTGCCAGAGGGTGCCAACTTACTAGGTCATGAATCGGAATGCCAACTTGGGAGCTGTGGTTGCCTCCTGCCCGCCGTGTCTGCAGCCAGCAGCTCTGAACTCAGGCCCTTTAATCATCGGAACAGCCCCTCCCAGGGGAAGGATTCAGAGGGACGCTGCTCACTAATCGATCTGTCGGTGAGCTCCAAATAATTAAAAATGGCGTTATCGGAAACACACACTTTCTCCCCCGCCCCCCACCTACTACCAGATTTTGCCATTATCATGCGGACAGTGTTCAGGGTGTGCAGGGGTGAAGGGCAAGAAAAATACCCCCGTGGCCCCTCAGAACGCCCATCCCCAATCTTGCATCCTGCATTCCATCCGTGCTACCTGGGTCCCAATACAGGGCTGCCTTCCACACAAAGATGAGAGGTGAGACTCTCCACCAGGGAACTCACTGCCCACCGCAGGGCTGAGGGAGCGGAGAAAGGGGTGGCTGCTGTAGCCTTGGCCAGAGGAAAGGTCCTTGCAGGCAACAGCAGAGAGTAGTTAGGGAACAAGGACACAGGTAGTGAAGCCAGCCCTAGCAAAGAGCGGTCCTCCCTTAAAGACAGGATGCTGAGTGTGCGCAAGGGTTGAGGCAGGAAGCCGAGTTTGAGGCGCACGTTTGGGGGCTCCCATCCTCCTGGGGACACGGCATGAAGGCTGGCTGTGAAGGTGGGGCTGGGAAAACTGGGTGGAAAGGAGGCTGCTGGCAGCATGGGGGTCGCAGGGGCATGGACGGAACTGGAGAGTGGAGCAATCTGGGAATCACTTGCTCCGTCTGGTCCGTGCGCCCAGTGGTTGACTGACTGCGAGGATGGGAGGCAGGCAATGGTGCCTCCAATGTGGGGAAAAGGCAGCTGGGTGGGGTGACAACTAACGACGGGGCCCTGGGGCCACCACTGAGTGAGGTTCTCAGGCAGCTAGGTCTGAAGGGGGCCTCTGGTGAGCGTTCAGGACAGTCTCAGCCCTGCTGATGCCCCCAGCGTGAGCAGAGCTGGAAGGGAAGGGCTGGCTGTCTGCTTGGAGCCTGGGTCTCTAGACAGGGCTGCAGGTCTGGAAGGTAAGGAAGCCACTTCCTCCAGGGGGTGCTGCCCAGGACGAGTCTCAAGTCCACCTAAAGGACCCCCGTGCCCTCCCCGTGCCAGGCCTTGTGCCTCAGCTGCAGCACCGTCTGGTCCCCACTCCGGGGCACGGGCAGGGGGCGGTGTGGGGCACTCAGGAGGCAGCCACTCCCACAGCCACGCTCAAGCTCCCGGGCTTATTAGGAGCCATCAGCCCGAGAAACAGGGACTTGTGGGATAATGGGGCCCATCTCTCTCAAGAGGCGCAGTTCTTGGCAGCCTCGTTTGAAACATTTAAGAGGCCGTTTTTGGGGTTGGACTAGACTTCCTTTAAACATTTGGGGCAAGAGCGAGTGCCACGCAGACCCTCCCACGCCCGAGGTCACCTACCTCTGTTTCTAACTGTCTCTCTCTCACATACACACACACTACACACGGAGGAGGCGCTGCAGCCCCCACAGGGACGACACATACACACACGGGAGGCGATGCAGCCCCCACAGGGACGGGGGGACACACTCACACACACACACACACACACACACACGGAGGAGATGCTGCAGCCCCCACAGGGATGGGACACACACACACACACGGGGAGGCGCTGCAGCCCCCACAGAGACGGGGACACACACGCACACACACACTACACACGGAGGAGGCACTGCAGCCCCCACGGGGACGGGGACACACACACACACACACACACAAGCACACAGGGAGGCGCTGCAGCCCCCACAGGGACGGGGGCACGCGCACACACACACACACACACACGGAGGAGACGATGCAGCCCCCACAGGGACGGGGGCACGTACACACACACACACACACACAGGAGGCAATGCAGCCCCCACAGGGACGGGAACACACTCACACATACTCACACACACATACACACGGGGAGGCGCTGCAGCCCCCACAGGGACGGGGACACACACACACACACACACACACGCACACGGGGAGGAGCTGCAGCCCCCACGGGGAGCCCCCAGAGGCGTTCACCTGCATCTCTGTCCCTTCCGCTGGGGAAGCCCCAGGGGCCGCAGGGCCCCGGACTCAGCCCGCGCCTCTGCCCTCCACCCAAGTCGTCTCCCTGCCGCACCCGCCCGGGGATCCTGCGAGGGGTGGGGTCACCTGGCCGCCCTCAGTCCCACCCTTCTCCATCTGCCCCACCCCCAACCAGCTGCTCCCCTCTCGAACCTCCCGGGTCCAATTCCGGGCTCCCGCCTGGGCGGGG